CTAAGACAACGTACTTATTTCATGTACCAATGTTGTAGGAAAAGAAATAAAATTACGATTCCATAACATTGACCGAGAGGTAATGTGCCTTTTGTATGTTGATCGTCTTCAAACGTCCTTTAATTCTCCCACATTTTCAAACGTCTTTTAATTAATTAATATCACATCACGAAGTTTCGCTCGAATATACGTATTATCTACTTCTTATATTTTTTATACTTCTTTATTCTCAATAAACTTAATCCTTATGCGTTTTATAATTACACAGTACTATTGAATAGTGATTAATTGAAATTTAAACGGCAAACTCTGTTGTTTATGTCGGAATTTATTTAAAAGTTACATTCTGTTTGCAATTATCTTGTTTGTAAAAAATAATTCAACTGAATTTTAAAACTAATTACCAAACACTTGAATTCTTAGCTAAAATCTAAATTTACTTTATTTTAATTGAAATTCGAGACACTTTAGGCAAACTCGTTTATAAATAAAGGGTATCAAAAATATTGACTCTATTTCTTCCTGTGAAGCCGACTTTTTTTAGTTTTGAAATTACCGCTACGAGTCGCCACTATACTTACTGCAGAGAGAAACCTGAGAGCGGCCAACACGGCATTTTCTGCGACACCGACTTTCCGCACTGGGAAAGGACGCCATCTGCATCCATTTTGAGAGGGGAATTACGATAGGTAGTACATCCACTTTCAAGTCTCGGTGGTAAAATCTGCATGTGGTGGAAGTCTATGCTACATCCATTTTCAAGCGGTTTATGTCCGTGCTGCAACCACAGTTGCCATCTCTATGCCAGACTATGCCCGGTGGTCTAAAAAGAGCGAGGGGGGGGGGAGGGAGAGGAGCAGAAAAAATAAAAATACGTATTAAATGTTAAATCTTCGAATATATATTGCCGTATCAAAGTCTCTTCTATAAAAAACAATTTGACATGTATGGAGACGCATGATGTGTCGTTGCCCGCCTCCCGTTCACTTCGTCCTGTTTCTTAATTCAGCATCTCGTCCGCTCCGGACATTCGCTCGTGGCACTGACAGTGGCCGTCGGTGAGCATTCGATCCGCTTGGAGGAGCACGTGTTAATTAACGTGACGAGACTCCGATTATAAATATCCCGCGAGTCGACGAAATATTTGAACTTTTAAAAAAAGCATCAAAGAAAATCACGTTGATGTTGTCATGGGTAAAATCTCACCCTGGTATATATTTTTTTATTTTCGAAATAAAAAAAGCCAAACAAATGCAATTAAATGTTATTTATCATCATTGAATATTAGATGAAAAGTAGAAGAGTTATTGTCCGCAGTGGATAATCTCCCTGTATAAAATGTCGAACTGAAACATATTAAAAAGTATTGACATTTTGAATACGTCTGAATTCTGCTTTCTGATCCGAAGAAAGGGACTAAAAAATATTAGTTCCCATTAAATTTCACCGCGTTAAATGGCGAGATGGCAGTGGTGAATGCTTCGCATTAATAAGGATTCCATTCATTTCAAATATGCCTTGTATTCAATCGCAATCGATAATTTTCAAATGCGAACTTTTGTATTGAAAAGTATTCACTTCTTCTCTTAATCGTTTTCAGATTCAGAGGTATACAAGATTTTCACGTTCTATTTCCCGTCGCATTGAAAAGTATTGGCCCGCGATCCAATCTGAGATTCCCGCAAAGCAGAATTCACGACAAAATCTCGTGAATGCGAAACATACTTTTAAATACGACATTTTATACACGACTAACATTTCATAACATTTAATAACGAGACAAAATTCGCATGGGATGAAATTCCACTCTTTAACGCTATCATGACCTTTAATTATTCTCCGCAAACGGCGTCACAACAACTTTGACACTCTGTACAATTAGTTGCTAACACATTTTCTAATCGTACACATTCCTCTTTAATTAACATAAAGCTGGCAAATGTCCGATGCTTTGACAGAATAATTTTCTTTATTTTCGGTAATCGATAAATAGAGCGCATCAATGTCGCGTACAGTTGAAAGGCCTCCTCGCATTCCCCTCGTCCTTCGAGAAAAGAAGAGACGCTCAAAGGCAAGTCTCTCTTGCTTCAACCGCCGCCGAGGCCCGCAATGTTTATATCGCGCCGATTGTGTTGATCGGCTCGCGAGCGACGACACTTTTTGCCCTTCGTATTATAATACTCGCGCACCTCGTGCATTCGACCTCATTCCACCAACAGCAGCCGTGCGCGACGCGCTCATCACTTCCGTCTCGTGCAATTGAAAGAAATGTATCTCGTCGGTCCTCGAGATACTCAATCGGCGTCGCGTTGATTAACCGCACGGTCGAATCGCGAGTATCGGCATTAGAAGCGTGAGCGAATGAAATCCGAAGGACTCCAGCAGCCGGGAAGCAGGACGCCGGCACCGATATGTCACGTTTCCAGGCAAGTGGAATCATTTATTATGCAGGAGGTCTCCGATAACGAGAGCGGACGTTTGACGAATTTTCCGGGAATAAAAAGTCGGAATTTCGCGCTCGGCACTCACAATCCGTCATCATCCGACTGGTAATCATGACTTTATGAATCTGCAATTGACTCTCGTCAATCTCTATCTGTCTATCTATTTATTGCGTTGTTGTATACAAGAGATATTGATCCAGACAGAGACGGATAACGATCCATGAACGCGGATCTCTAATTCATCATGTTCTCAATCAAACATTCTGAATAATTCCCAACTGTGTGAGTATACCGGTCTTGTGTAGAATATTCAACGTCATATCGCTTCTTAGACTGCGACCTTTTTTGTTTTCGACCAGCGCTTCTTCCAAGTCTGTTTACTCTCGTTACGGGATCTAAATTGAAATGTCCATTCGTAAACAAGTATTTTCGAGAGCACACAACTGTTGTCTCCGCTTGTTGTTGTCATGTTTTTTCGTCAGCTCTTTCAAGAGCTCAAAGTTCTATCTAGACTTTCAATGTCAATGAAGAAAAGAAAACCATTGCGAATATTCTCCACTTATCCCGACCAAATATTCTTTCTCTACCGCAGCTTACCAACCAGGAACGCTAAATTTTTGTTCCAGACGTTGCGGGAAGCAAGTCCGGCGGACGCGAACGCACCGCAGGATCCGGTTCGGGCAGAGCAGGGTCGGCCGGAAGGTAAAGTTTACAACTTTCCTGTACATCTGTGTTCAACTCTTTACAATCTTTGCCTTTGCAACTTGTTCCTCATCAGCTCTCTTGAAAGCTTCATATCTCATTTAAATTTTCGATGTTGGAACTAAAATATAAAGATAAAAATTCCGTATCAAAATATTTCCGTATTTTCGATTCGTCCCGATCAAAGATATTCTCTACCGCAGGTTATCAACCGGGAAAGTTATTCTTCTGTTTCAGTTGTTGCAGAAAGCAACAGCAATCCGGTGGACGCGGATGCCGTACCGGAGGATCCGATTCGGGCCAAGCAGAGTCGGCTTGAAGGTAAGTTTACAAGTTTATCATAGTCCTCTGTTTTTGACCCTTGGTGATCTAGAGCTGGGATATAATTTCTGGCTCGACTTGAATTACGATCTCAGAGGGTAAACTATTCTTTTACTCGCCTGCACTCGTTGGTCTGATCTGATGAGCGAATGTGAATTTTTTGTTACAGAGTTGAGGCAGAACGTGGCCGGCTCTGACTGCAAGTCGTTTCGGTGAGTAAATACAAAATGAAAAGAGAAACAAAGTTCCGCATGACGGATGTGGAACTAAATAAAATATCGTTCGAGTCAATGCGAATTGCGAATACATTCTTGCATGTTGGGATTTTGCATGTGTGTGTTTGTGACGTTGAATAAAATACATTACTCGAAACAATCAGGGGATTACTTCATCGATAGCCTGCATTACATACGAGACTTAAAATACCGAATGATTCTCTTTTGATGTTCAGTCATCTGAATAAGAGATATTCATATCTACAAACGCGATACGGTCATCAGCTGCTTTATTTTCATTTCTCAAGCGGGCCGCAGAATTATTTAACGACAATTATTTAACAATATTCAATTGTCCGTGTAAAATATATTCATACGCATGAATGCCGATACCGTTGGCTACTTTTCTTTTATTTGCAAAACAGGCTGTAGAATTATTTGGCAATATTGTCCATTCATCACGATCCCTATTGTTCGAGTAGCGTATAATGCGCGCAGAAATTGCGCCAGCGCATGCCGAGCTTGAGGTATCCTCGCTCGCGTGCCTTTGAATATCGCGATCGCGGTTATCGATATACGCGTTTTTATCCGCGCTGCTAACAAAGAAAGCTTAAATTCTCATTTCGCCAAAATATCGCGAACGTAAGCTTCGTCGTGACGGAACTATCATGTGTGAAAACTTTGCCCCGCTCTCTCTCTCTCTCTCTCCTTGTGATCCCTCGGAGTGATCGGTTTCTGATTGTCTAATCTTTCCTCGCATGCATTCGCGAATATTCTCGTAGATATCGATACTCCCGCATTTTCGCGACTTCTCAGACGCGATCGCGAAAAGCGCCGTAAAAATCCGTTGGACGTGTCGATGTACAGTGCTGTACAGTAACCACCCACCACCCCTATTCCCCTTCTGTCGGAACTGTGCGAGAGAAAACGAACAGTAAAAACAGAGTGCTTCCTTTTCTACGAGAGTTATACCCCCACTCCTCGAACACGCAGTCTAGATATACTGTGTCTATGACTATAACTCTGATAAAAATAACGATGAAGAAATAGTTTAAGAAGCATTTTAAAGTTTAAAGATTCTATTTTTTATACATACCAAATTCATAAGGTTCCACTGTCATTCATCATCAATATATTGTTAAATTAAATAAAAAATAATAACTCTACTTTCCAAACTCATTTTTTAGTTAAGGTTTTATATTGAAAAACTGTATCTATCCAAAATGTAATAAATGCATCTAAAAAATCACATTTCATATTCTTTCCTGTTAATTATTAATATAATTGATTAATTAAAAGTAACACGAGAAAAAGCAGAATTTTGTTGCAAAATTTATTGCGTATAATCTTACAGGTAGAACATTCGAGGTAGTACAAGCTATTTGGTGTATATTCAACAAATATCATATTGTTACACATAACTAATGGAAACACATGGGATTGAGAAAATTTTCGTCACAAATAAAACGCGATATAACATAATTGAAACTTGAAGCGCAAACAAAACACACTGGAATTTAAGATCTTAAATTGAAAATATGTCAAATCTAATGTAATGTATCTTCGTAGAGAATTTCGTAGAGAATTAGGGAAACATATCCGCCAAACGTTACACATAATAATGATTACATTTTGTATTTGAAGTCCATTCTTATTAAATATCGTACTTTCACCTGAGCAACGTCGTACACAATGTACTCGTTGTATAATAATGCCGACTTTTTAATATTGGCAGATACTCCCTCGCCATAGGGCACTTCGACGCCGTCCTTGGTCTTGTAGACATTCTCGGGATCGGGGTGCGTCTGACCGCGACCCATCGTCGAGTGTTTGCCTTTTGGTAGCTTCTCGATGTAGTCCGCTTGATATCTCTCGTATATATTTCCCAAGGCGACTTCGCAAAGTAGCAACAGCCCGGTGGAATTCGAGCTGTTCGTACAACAATAATTCGCGGACTTGGACACCATGTCGGCGAAGTAGATACCCTTGCCGAACATGTAGCCGGTAACGGGCGCTTCCGGCGGCGCGATACGCAGACCTTGAGACAGTATTCCCGCAAAGTTCGTGGTCCTGGATCCGTGCCAAAGCAGCTTCCTGTTTGGCAATTTCTTGAAGGGTTTGTATCGCTGCTCTTCGCCTTGTCTCTTGACTACAAACACATCCTCGATCTCGAGTTCGTACTGCGTATGAGTGGCCGCGTGCGTGTTCTTCACGTATTGTTCTATCATCTTGAATTCTTCGCTCTTCTTATCCAATACGTCGATGTCGGTCTTCAGCTGCTTGTAATGACTATCGAGCGGATTCTCCTGCTCGTCAGTCTTATCGCGCAAAAGACTGTAGGCAACTTCCATCTCGAGCAGCGCATCTAGCATATCGCACTTGGTCTTAATTTCCTCCAATGTTTCGAGAGGCTTCAGCTCGGAAATGCCGTAATTGTGAGGTATTAGGGTGTAAAATTTGTTGGAAGCGTCTATCAACGTGATACGATCTGTACTGCCGCTTTTCTTCAGCTCATTTTGCAGCATCGTTAAGACCCCGTACGCTTCCTGAATTTGTTTCTGGGACAATTTTCCGAGCGGCATTTTATCCATATCTATCTCAAACTCCAACATAACTCTCTTCATTGAAGCCACATCGAAAATAAGGCGCATTAGATCTTGAATGGGTTGCTGCAAGTTGCTCTTGATATCTGAATCTAAAGAGGCGATCTCCTCGTCTCCGTGATCTAGTTCGATCGGACACATCCGGTTCGGTACCTTGACAAAGTGTTCTCTAGTCTTCCACTGATTGCCAGATTTCTCTTCGAACAACGCCTCGAACTGTTTTATACATTGCTCTAAGGACAACGAGTCTTCTAGTTTCGTGCCGCCAATTGTAGTGCCAATTCGACCCCAACTTCTGAACAAGTAATATCTCTTACTATTGTCGTGTTCTAAAATTTGTAGCTTGTAATAACTGTTCTTCTTCGACTGTATGTCCGTCAGCCCTAATGTTATGTCGTACGTGTCTTTGCCTTTCTGATAGATATGCGTACAGTCATCCATGCCGCTGTCAGGATCGACAGCGCCACCACTTTTTACTCGTAATTTCACCTTGCCGGACTTCTCAAACTTGCTCTTACTTTTGGAAGCGTTGGATTTCTCGACAACGTTCGAAATTCTGGCATTTATGTCACCACCCCAGCTTGAGATAGTTTTCTTCTTTAGGAGCATAATGGGCGCATCTGTGTACTCCTTTGCTTCCTCCACAAAATTCTCCGTTATTACGTGAATGTCAAGTGCTTTAACATCCTCCATTCTTTTGCTCATCTTCTCCACTTCTTTCGGATTCGAAATTACGGCGGCCAAATCTTTGTGAATTTTCGTTCCAACAGTACCACCTAAGAGCAGAATATCCTTCTTCAACTCTTCTCTATCCTTTTCTATACGACCCAATATAACAAACTGCATGTTCTTCAAAGGACGTGGCTTTCCTTGAACTTTCGGCCCATCTACCTTATCTTCTTCTTTCTTCACGGAACTTGAAGAAGATGGTGCCGTAACTTGAAACAGTCGCTTTTTTACCTTAGACTTGTACGATCTGAAAGCGAATTAAGAGAATGTAAAAATTCAGCTTCATAATGCACTTTTTCTCTACCGAATGACAGAATATAAGTTATTCTCATCAATACATCCACAAAAGCTTACTCAATTGGAAAATCTTCCTTCATATCACTTGGTATTTCAGACTTTTTTCTTTTTGGTTCCTGTGTAACGTATTCGCATTTAGTCCATTCCGTTATATTGCCAGTGCATTTGTAACCCAACCCAGTATTATATAAAAGTTGTCCTTTACACTTTGGACAGGGCTCCAAAGCTCCAAAGTACAATATATCAGACAAAAGGCTTAAAATCTATGATTAAAAATGAAAGTAATACAATAAATGGAAAAATGTGTTATGTAACATATAATTTCACAAAAAAGAAAAGTATTGTAGTATCAGAATAAATGTGTATCGCAAGATACTTACATTTGATGTGCCAGATGGAACTTGTTGGTGGTTTTTTTTCAATATTGCAATTAATTCTTTTTTTCTTAGACTCGATATCTTATCTTGTATAACATACAAATCTTTGTTCTGTTTCTTTCTCATTTTCTCTCCTTCAATATCTTCTGGCTCATCTTTAATCTTTTTGACAGGAGGTGGGATGTCATCTGGAATTATAATTAAGAATGCAACAGAAATTCTATTAATCCAACTTATTAAAAGGAAAAAAGAATATTTAAACAAGAATGCAAGTAGTTTTCAGACATCTTCACTGCAAATAAAATTTTACCAAGTGCATTCTGCTCTTTTCTTACCTTGATTTATTTTATTCAATGCAGCTTTGACAGTTTCTTGATCTTCTTTAGAAAGATCTTTTATACCTGGGAGCTCACTTCCTTCTCCATAATACCCTAAATCTACTCTTAATTTTGCAAAACATTCCACATGGTACCATCTATCTATGCCACCATATTTCTTGGCTTCATCAGTTTCATAATCCTTCTTTGATATTCTTACTTCCTCTTTTATTATCTTCTCTTCGCATCCTTTGCAAGTAGATCTGCTAGACTTGGCATATTCCACTTTGAAGTCACCAGAACCACTTTTTGTAGCATTTGCCCTCTTTCTTCCTTTTCCGGACACAGGAGGTGCTTTAAGAGCTTCCTCTGTAGTTAAAAATTTAAGAAATAAATAACACAATAAAAAGTAAATTATGAAATTATGTATTTTGATCAAAATATGTACCAAGTCTCTTTTTAAGTACTTCCTGATCTTTATCTCGAATCTGATCAAAGCATGCTATATCAGCGGTAGACTTTGGCCTTTGTTTCAGGAAAAAACACTTAGAATGATACCATTTAGGTATTTTACCATCGTGGACTGGGCTCTGAAAAATCAAGAAGATATTTCTACAGCAATATGTTAAAAATAAAGCAAATAGCTAAACTGTTTATTTAATAAAACATAGTTAATCATGTTTACTTGGTATGTCGCTTTTAAAAGTAATATCAGATGATACAAAATTAAAACATGTTAATGTAAAGAAAATACCACTTATCATGTCAAAAACTGAAAATAAAAAATAATTTACTTAAATTAGTTTACTTAAATTATTAAATTAGTTTGTAAATTATATTATAACCTTAGTAGTTGTATTATAACCTATATTTTAGGTATGTTGCAAAAGGTAGACAATAATATGTAAAAAAGCAATTTATTAATCTGACATGTACCATTTGATGTGACAATTATATCCATGATGGTGTTTATGTATTCTATCATAACTGGATTAAGAATAAAACAATAATTCAATTTACGTGTAGTTTCTCTACACGTGCACAGAGTACGACTTATCATAAAATTGTCGGAATTAACAATATCACAACGGAAAGGATGGCATTATCAACACCGGAATGTGTGTTATTTTCTACGCATAAAAGAATTGCGCAATTTTTCTTTGTGCACATGAAATTGTTACCTGGACTACAGCGGCTAGTCTCAGACTTGACTTGCCGATCAATGTTTTGCATCCTTGGCAACTAGAACGATTGCTCTTAGCATACTCCACTAAATACGGCAAATCGTCATCCATCTCGTCCACCACCGTTTGTCACTTTGAATCGTGAAAACAATACGCCTTGCAAGATGCCGGCTGCTGTCGCAACACCTCTGAACTGGTCGCCTCCGGCTGAATAATGGTTTGGCGCTTATATCCTCGGCGCCAAAATGGTTGAACAGAAGAAAACTGTACTCTTTCAATTGCACTTTTTGTGCCTTCTTTCAAGATATTTCTCCAAACTACAAATAATGCATATACACATACACGTATATACACACATATATATATATATATATATTTATTTATTTCATTTTAAGTTTACACAAAAAGAGTGTAATATAATCAACTTTTTAAAATCAAACTTCTGAGAATTCAAAATTTTGACGTCGGAACTTTTAAATTTAAAATTATTTACTTCACTCTTTAATATCCAAACATAAATATAAAATTTAAACTGTTGATATAAAGTATTATTAATCATTCTCGGTATATTTACAACTATTACTGAGAAAAAAAAACAAAAATATAGAGAACGTATAAAAAAATTTAACAAAAGTACGAAAAAATTAAACTGCCTCCTGTGAGGTTTGAACTCACGACCCCTGGTTTACGAGACCAGTGCTCTACCACTGAGCTAAAGAGGCTTCGGTTCGTCTTTTTCTTAGGAAAATACAAATATTAATTTGATCAACAGTAATTTTCAGATAAAATTTGAAAATAATTTTACTCATAGAATTGTACAATTATATTTTATAAAAAGACGTCTGAAATTTTAATTAATTTACTTATCAACCTTATTCATCGTCATAGTGCTATTTACGCTATTATAATAATATAAAAATGATATATATATATATATATATATAATAAAATAATTGAATTTTATTTAGAATTGGGTATATATAATAAAAAATTTTTATTATATATATCCACAATAAAGATTTTATGTATCAGACACATTCAAATACCTGCCATATATGTATACAATATTAAAAGAATAAAGATCTTAACAGAGTAAAGCGCCCAATAAGCAGGGCTAATTATTTATCGATACGATTAGCGGATTTGATTCTACACATAGCATAGAGGTTTCGCCGAGATCGCAAAGTATACGCAATAATTGAGCCTTCGAATCACCAATCACTTACCAAGCACTTTTGTCCCGCTGAACCCAGTCGTGGAGCCGTAAGGCCACCTTGCTTGCTGACGCCAGACATGCTTCTTGTGAAATGCAAGCCAGGAAATATTTCTCAAGGCCTGGTGCGCATTGCTCGGTGAAGATAAAGCACCGGAAAACGATAGGGCTATCATTCTCAACTAACGGATGCCGCGTCGCCGCCCTCATTGCCGAGAAATCAAAAGTTCGGAGAAGGTTGAATCCTGGTCTCTCCAGTCCTGTTATTACCGTGCTTAACGGCGTAGATCCTATTTCCCTCCGGCTTTAATTTTTTATTAGTCGCGACATATATTCGCGTACATTCACCATTTTTCTTCGTCGCGCTTTCTTCTTGGATCTCCCGTCATCGTCCGTGCAGTTGAACGTGATTGAGTATTAGTGAATGTGTCAGGAAGTATGTAAATTCGAAAGCATCTCCCAATCCCTTGAAACGTGTCACTTGTGACAATTATCTCACGAGGAAAGGAAAGCTTAAACGAGTCTCACGCCCCGCTACGCCGTGAGTTTCGTACTTGAGAGCGATACCTTCTACATCAGGATGAAGTATTCCCCTTCGATTTTGCTGTTATCCATATTCCTCGGCCTATATGTCGTCTGTTGGTCATCGCAGAGCAATAGTAAGCAGAAATAATGAAACCATATTGTCTCGGTATTTACACTTGCAGGATCACGGATTTTTTGGGAAAATTCCACCCTCTGGATATTCTTCGGTGAAGTTCTATTCGGATTTCGGTGCTTTTCAGCGGAGCTTTTAAAATCTCGGTAGATTTCTTCTTCGGACCTATGAATGCCCATCTTTCCTTTTTAGTGCGATGTCCTCCGGTACACTTGAAAAACGGGAAAGTACGTATCAGGGCGAGAGGTCGGATTATGAGATACGACTGTTTTGAAGGATACCTCCTCGTGGGCAACAAATACACTTCGTGTATGCATGGCAATTGGGACACACCTGTTCCTGTGTGCGTGAGTAAGTAGAGTCTATAGCCCTAAACACAATGCCAGGCAACAGGCAATAAGAATAAAAATAGACCAATCACAATAGATTATTCTTGTAATAGTCGATTGTGATTGGTCTATTTTTATTCTTATTGCCTGTTACCTGGCATTGTGTTTAGGGCTTAAAGTGGAGCTTAATGGATGGAAAGCCATCGTCAATGGATCCTGCGCGTAAAGTGACGCGATATCGCAAAACCCGCTTTAGACGCTTTTAAGCTTGAATCCCTTCCGAGCACGAGAACGCGCGTAAATGAAATCGCAGTTCGATAACTGGCCGAACAAAAACTCGCTGACAAAAAAGGATATCTTTGTTATCGCACCCGACAACATTTAGATCTGCGTTTACCGTGCAGCGTGTTTCAACGGACTTTCTATTCACCAGCGACTGTTTTAACAAGACTCGCTGTGACATGCACACATGTAATCATTTTTGAAACTTTGATGTAACAAAACAATCAATCTGTTCACCAATATACTTTGTCCGTTACGTTCTTCCATTGTTATTAAACATTGCTGCAGTCTTGTGAATGTAAGTAATTGCTTGTTTTACATACGTTGACATTCACCGCACAACGGTTATCGGTGAATGTGTTAAAACTCGGTTGAGATAGCCGGTTCGATGGACCGAATGAAACTTTTCTACAGCAATGTTTCTGCTGCTGCAATCGAACTCTCGCCTGAAAACAGAGAATTAATTAGACGAACGTTAATTAGACCAACCGAGTATTTCTTTTCCACGTGTATGCGCGAGACGATATCAGCATGATAACGAGATAACAGCAACGCAGTTATAAATGGTCTCCCTCTTCCCCTCCGCCTGCTGCTGAGCTATAATGAATCATCATTGTGCGAAAAATATTGCGACGAAACAAAGAGAAATGAGCGGGACCAATTTGTTTACATATGCGTCACGTTGTTTAGGCACAAAATGCACTCCGCCGCCAAGACCGCCTCACATGTTTATGGTCTCAAAAGCGCGCGGAGGGATACTGATGTTCTTTTGCGAACCCGGCTACAGCCTAATCGGCTCAGCTGAGATATACTGCGATGGACGCAATTGGAACTCATCGGTTCCTTCTTGCCAAGGTAACACGTGCGATATTTCTGCAGGGTGAGAAAGTTACTTTGTAAAAGTATCTAGTTACAGTTACAATTTTTTCACTGAAAAGGTAACTAATTACAGTTGCAAGTTACTGACCTTCAAAAATAACATGTTACAGTTACAGTTATTTAGAAAATAAGGAGTCGTTACTCCTTTTCAGTTACTATTTTTTACAATAATTGTGCTATTATTTTAAATTTCATAATTGTGTAAATTCCTTCAATTTGATATAAAAGTAGTTTGTTGATTATTATGTTCCTCATATAATTTTTACAAATTACATTTATTGATTTAAATAAGCAATTCATAATTATTCTTTAGGACTATTAATAACGACTGAGCGGAGAGATGCCCAGTTGTTATCGTATCCAAGTTTTCGCTGTAACTTGAATATTTCTACATATACTGGCTATGGCATTTTACAATCCTTCTCCGAAGATCGAGATGTTTGATCTATTGCTTGAATTTTTTATATAACTGAACCCACGTAGCGCATTTCACGCTGAATGCAGGTTAACAAATAAGGACTGGCGACAGAAATATCTAATAGACGTACAATTTTTTGGAAAGAAATACAAGTTGTGTTCGGAAAGGAGATTATCAGCGCTATTGCGTCATTTTATTCTTGTTTTATATCCAATGAACGATAAAAATAGATGACGCAATAGCGCGTTTTCCAGATGCAGCCAGAATAACTATAAGCTTATTGAATGTCAAGCGTCGTGTTATCGTGTTAGTCAGCCAGAAACTTAAGTTTGAAATATATAAAGTAACTGCTAAATTAGTTATTAGTTATCAAACAAATTTAATCAAGTTAAGTTACAGTTATAGACAGAAAAAAGGAACGGAGTTAAGTTAGAGTTACCAAAAAAGTGAAAATAACTGTAACTGTAACTGTAACTTCGTCACAAGTAACGAGTTACTCCCCAACCCTGTATTTCTGTTATCCTGGCTCAATTACTTCCCGCCTTATCGATCCACAGCGAATAAGTCTTGTGCATCGTTTTTATTTAACTTGAATTTGTTTTTGTCTGACGACAACGCCATTGGCGGTTCACCTCTCACGGAAAGACTCGAATATACCCCCGCCGACAAAGTGCGACTTCGAGGATCGGGATCTCTGCATGTGGCAGCCGGATCCGCATCACGACTTCGACTGGAAACGCCATAATTTTGCGACATCGAGTGCGATCATCAGCACCGGTCCCACGCATGACCATACCCTAGGGCCTGGAAATGACGGTACGTATCCTCGTATAATAAGAACGTGAGCTCTGCTCAACTAGCTACCTCGCCGTAGCGCCGTGCCATCGGCGGACTGCAAGGTGTCAAGTGGGAGAAAACTTACTTGTGACATGTGTCTGTAATACGTGCGAATGTACACACGCTTGAGCTGATTTCAGGTCACTATCTTTTTACCGAGGCATCCGGGCAACTGGTGAACGATACGGCAAGAATCATATCTCCTCTATACAATTCTTCCCTCACCGAGTCGGGATGTTTTTCATTCTGGTGAGCGCGTAATTAAGTAGAAATTAGAACGCGTTTCTTCGGCCCGTAGCGCAAACCCCGCATTATTTTCTTTTCTATCATATTTCCTGCGTTGTTTACCGCGGAGTCACGTTTCGAAATATTTCCGCATAAACGTGGACGATTGGACAATTGGACTCGTGAGTGAATCTGTCGACGCGAGGAAGGAAATTCTGACGGCTCGTTAGACGCTTAATTTGCATCTTGTCAAAGTGAATTATTCGGTACTCTGGACTTCTCTCTCGCGTTTTTCTCTTCGACCAATTTTTCATAAATCCATTGGACACGTTGCTGCGTTTGTTGACAGGTATCACATGTACGGAGGAATCACGATCGGTAGGTTAAATGTATATTTCAAATACGAGACGAATAATACGTGGCTATTGATGTTCAACAAGGAGGGAGATCAGGGGAATCAATGGTTGCAGGGTATCTTCAATCTGCCGAAAAGTAACGTTAGCTTTCAGGTTAGCGCTCTTGTCATTTTGTTTAGTGCATGCCTTCCGAGATAATAAAATCCACTTAGTTACACGCTATAAAAATCTTTCGCAGATTATTATAGAGGGTGTACGAGGTCTCACCTACATAAGTGATATCGCGATCGACGACGTGGCTATATTACAAGGAGACGAGTGCGTCGTTAAGAACAATATCACCGGTGTAACTGTGGGCGATGATGGTGAGCTTTTTACTTATCCAATTTACTTATCCAATTAATCCTCGTCGAAAACTGGAAATGTGCGGTCTGTATCTTGTGAGAAGAAAATCACGAGAGTCACAAGATACTCGTACATAGGAGACATTGTGCGACCTCATTGCAGGAACACTGATAGAAAAATATAGTTGAATTAACTATAATCTCACTATATTTTACAGTTCATTTTGGCGTCAACCATATTTTTATAGTTCGTGGAACCTGCAAATTATAGTAGAATAAACATAAATATACAGTCAATAATTGTCTTAAATAATTGTTTAGTTACTTTTACTACATGTATGGTAATTTCTCATTCACAAATATAGTGAGATTTAATATTAATATTCATGTAGTTACATCTGTCATCATTTAGCAAATATTCTGGTAATATTAACTATATAAAAGAGTTATTAAATATATAAAAGAGTTACTTTACATACCATTTTATATTTTGTATTTTCCATACAATAATTTTAGTTTAACTTACTGTAATTCTTAGTAAAAATATTATATGATTGGTTGTACTATACCTATATCGTAATTATTACCGATATTATGGATTAATGCTTACTATAAATATGATATTTCGGACTATAATTTAGTTACTATATCATTATAGTTCCAAATATCATATACTTTTCTCTCAGTGAAGAAGGAAAAAGAAATACGCGAAGAGAGCTTGTGCTTCGAATTTCTTATTTCTTCTTTGTAAGAGCGCTTAGCTCCGGGAGACCTCAGAGAGGTCAGCCGTTCGCCGTAATAAAGATAGCGGGTCACAAACTACGCTGTATTTCTCTCTGAACAAAAGTCGTGGTCTCTCGCAGATCAAGTCGAAGTGGTGAACGCGCAGCAAACCTGTAAAGGCAAATGTGTTTATTCGATGACGGAGGCCGTCCACACCACTCCCAAGTATGGACCGGAAAGTTGTTATTGTACGTTTGATTGCATAGAACGTTCGATGTGTTGCCCGGATTACGAGGAATACTGCACTGCAGGTAATTATTCAACTTACCTTACGCTTAATGAGTCTGGTCGAGCGGAGTTCACTATTGTATTCCAATTGTATTGTAATCCAATCGGATGTGATCGTGTTCAGTCAAAAAATGTCGAGGCAAATCTTTTCTTTTGCGACTCTGCGCTCGTTGCATCTCCGCATTTATCGCGAGAGTCAGAATTGATCAGTCGGATCAGAGCGATTTCGCAGAGGAATAGAAGAGGATGTCGCGATTGCGGAAGCAATCTGCGAGTTTCGCCAGTGTTGAATTTTCGTGGCGAAGTGTCATTTTGTTGGGGGAGATGAAAGTTGTTGAAATCAATTCTAATTGCAATCACACAGTATTCAATTTAACCGAGCCGGTCATGTCGACACTCTACGAAACCAAAGCGACGACTTCCGCGAGTCGGCAGGTGACAAGTCGGAGACCGTACAATGCTAACGGCACGAGCACTACGATTCACAAATCGGGGTTTCCCAAAACTCCATACTACATCAATACGAAGGATTATATCGATCCGAGAACTTTGAGCTCATCGACGTCGCCAACTACGCGAAAAGTCATGACCACGACAACACCGAAGCGTACGACTACGAGATCGACGAAACGAACGACGACACCGTTCGCAAGACGAAATCAAACGGGATGGAAGCGAATGACGTCTTCTGAATACATCGCCTGGACAACGGAACGCACGGAAGCTCAGGATCGATCTGGTAATATTCATCGCGCTTAACGTAATTTATTCATCGCGCATTGTAAAGAACGCCTATCCAAACTAATGACTGCGCGACAGAATTAAATATATACATGATACGCAAGGAGAAAGAAAACTCGCGGTTCGCAGGAAAACTCCATCCAGATGAATGCTTTCGATCGCGCTAACAGGAATATCGTTTCTCATCGCTGAGAAAGTCCTCGTTAATTAATTTTCATTCAGTTAGATATGAACGGAGGCTATTCTCAGTACGGAGAATTTATGGTTTCGATAATGCTGGAAACGCGCTCTAACTAACAGGAAGTTTGGTGTTGGTAAAATATTTGTGTTAGCAGAATCCGACAGTAATTTGATGTTACTATGTAAAATGTTTGCTGTTACTGAAATGTATACAGAGTTGCACAGCGAAGAGCAGAATCCGGAGAAGGTGAAGCACGACGGTAGATTCGATCCGCTGCTCGTCGGCATAGTGAGCGCGACTGTAATCGTGTTCTCCTTGACGCTCATCATCACGATCGTCATCATCAGGAGGAGGAAGACTTACAAGAGAGGAAGCGGCTCGGCGCTCTCCGAGGACAGCGACGTGCGTTTCCTCACGTCGGACGAAATACTCGACTTCAACTTAGCGCGACCTGTCGAGCACGAGGAACTGTAGTCCTGTAGTTGGACAAATTTCTTCCACGAATTGTGCCAAATTTATCGATTAGCCGAACTAACGAGTTTACCGAGCCGACAAAGTCGAAGAGATCTTACAAAGAGATTACACGCAGGAAATATAATATCGCGGCCACGCGATACGCGCGGTGCCCGAGAAAAATGTGATCGTTTTGCTTCTTTTTGCTCTTTTTTCAAAAACTTGTGTACGTTAATTATTTTACGCCAATAGATCGCAAGAATAGTTGGTTTCACATCTATGGTTTACACAAGGATAATCGCTATTACTGTCTTTCAAGCTTGTCGCTGCGTCATCGCACAAGTGTCCTTCTTGCGCATCTGACTCTTCGGAGACTTTGTATATCCGCAATTTTTTAACACACTCGTTATGAAAAGATAGGCGATTGATTTCCTTGCAAATACCGTTCAATATGATATACACGCGATATATAACAATAATAAATTATTTTACAAAAGCTTCTTGAAATTCTTCCTTCTTCTTCGCAGTTGCCGAAATCATTTCTCGCGAGTCGTGCTTCTCGACAAATTGTTTTCACTACGAGCGTTCCGGTGAGTCTTCAAAGCAGCGAGCGTAATACGCTTAATTTCAGGGTGGTGTGACCTGATTTTTTTAGTAACTAAGGTAGCCTTCGGAAAATTAAGCGACACCGGCGTTGCGCAATATATTATTTGGGAGGTGAAACACGCACTCTCTCGCGCGAATGAGCCGATTGATTTCACTCTGCGAATACATCATTGCCGAAATACGCATGCCGGGGCACGTAGTCTCGATAGCTCGTCTGCGTTTGCTCCAAGACTACGTCGATGACGACTCCTCAAGTCATCTAGACGCGGTTTATGCGGACACGTGTGTCGGATTACGTGTGTTGTAACGTGACCAGGACTGAAGTCGAAATGACGTGCGCACCCGCACGCCGCGGCGGAGCACCGGCTTATCTTCGTGATTTTCCATCAGGTCTTTCCCACTGCACTGCGACTCTCATAAAAGCCACCGCTAATGTCGATGTTCGATGAATTATTTATGGAGCTGCTTTGTAGTCGCGACACGCGAGCACTTTTTTTTTCACTCTTCCTGCGGTGAACCTCACCTCGAGTTTGCGGATGTCGTGAAACGTCGCTTTTCTCCTGGGAGAGAGCGTCAGGAGAGAACACAATGCCGTTTGGATATCGGACTCTGCACACGCGGTGCGGTCGATTTGTCGCAGCGCGCAATTTTCGACCGCGCGTTTCACATTCCCCGGCGCGCGGCTGATTCGGGCATTTATTTCCGGGCAGCGCTCCGTTCGGCAGTGACCAATCGATCGGAATGGAAATCGCCAAGGCAACGCCCAAGGATAGACAATAGTCTTGTTCTTATGGGCTATGCGGGAAAATTCACTTTTTCCTCAATATTTGCTATTGAATGTTTCGGTCTTCAGATGAGCTCTCGAGAGTTAAGCTCAAGACCGATCGCGATTTCACTCACGGTCGTGGAGCTTGAGATCACTCATTGATTTCGTCTTTAATGTCTATGAGCGAACATTTTCCACCTTCTGCGATGAATTTCTTACAGCTTCGAGTCACGAATCACGATCGTACTTGGTACGGACAAAATGCGTACGAAACAACGTTTCCGTTTCTCGAGCAGGTAATCTGAAAAATGACGGCGAAAGGGCTGGATTCTATCTCGACGAGCTGTCTATACGCTTCTCAGCAGCAGAAGCGACTCTTATTAAGAGCGAACCGAATTTCCATTTCCATGCTAATATCCTGGCATAAATAGCCTGTCAGTTTCCGCCGTTGTACCTGCGAGATATGAAAGCACGTCTTGCAGTCTCGAACAGAGAGCTAACCGCGCCGCCACCCTCACAGCGCGAGCAGGGTCGAAAAATATCGTCGAGAATAACGTCGCCGCGCTCGCGGCGGCCTTCGTGCGTCCCGGTGAAATTTCGCGGCTGTTCACGTTTCGCTTGCGAAAGCTCGTCGCGTTCTTACCCAGACACTTTCTACGCCGATTACCGAATTGTCGTCGCGTGTCGGCTCCCACTTGTTCCGTCTGCCCTGTTCGGCGGTGGATTTAGGCTCAGCGAGATCTCAGCTATTTTGTCTCAGCGAAAGGGAATATGTACGACTAAAGAGACACAACAAAATTTAGGTCTTATTCTGAAATGAGGAAAAATTTAATAAACAATTCAAAGCAATATACTCTGTCCAGAAAAATCGACATTTATCTTTGTTCAATTATACATGTAATATTATTTGTCGGAGATTTTAATTTACTACATTGATCGACGAAACAAACTCGTCCTGTCAGAATTCTCAAAATCAGAATGACTTTGTTATCTCTGAAACTTTCGTGCGATTACTACAGATCTCTGTTTTTTTTTTTTTATTAAATTATCAAATAACAGCCCGTCATAATACGTAAATAAACGGCTGACACGTAGACTACCGTCGAGGCCAGATCGTCATTTGTGCATCACCGGATAATGACACGGCGATGTGTGCGGTTTTGACAAGGTCCCATTGTCATTCGCCCGTTGTCGCATTTCGCTTATGTGTACGCGCGCGCGAGCGTGCGTGCGTGCGGTCAATGATTACGTGTATGTATCAGATCGCACGTAACGAGCTCGATGCGATTGCGTGCGACAGAAGCACGTGTATCGCTGAAAGGCGAGACACGTGGGCCCGGCGAAGAAAGAATAGAAAATTCGTTGCGCAGTATTTCACTTTCTCCTCTCTTCGTGCCTCTCTCTCTCTCTCTCTCTCTCTCTCTCTCTCTCTCTTCACCTGTCTTTTTTTCTCTGCCGCTCTACTTGCGTCGATTGTGTGCATTATCCACTCGTCACGTCGTCGAAGTTGATAAATCGAAACGACATCCGCTGTGTTCCTGTGGTCGTGTCTCTTTCTCTCTCTCTCTCTCTCTCTCTCTCTTTCTTACTCTTTCAAATTCGCCTTTGATCCGCAAATCCCGTCGTTTTCAAGTTTTAACTATGTCTTCAGGTTTCAACAATGATTACCGATAATGAATTATTCCTTTCAGCTTCGGCTTTCGGCCGAAGAATATTTCGGAGAGGAAAACAAGTGCAAGCATGAACGACCAATTGATCAAATACTGGATCCATGACACGGTAATAAATAACGTGAAAAATCTAGAGTTGCAGTGGAAGTAACGAAAGTCACGTTAACGTGACATAATGAACTTTGAAACGCAAAGACTTATCTCTCTCATTTCTTTCATCGACAAGCGGAATCCACCGGATTATTCAGCATGCACATAATTTTCCCGGCGAATTGCTGCGCGAGATTAACTCATTTCCACATTGAAGGAAATCGCTCGGCCAGAAGGAAGGAGTTCTTCCGCGCAGAATTTTCCATATCGCGACCTACCGTGACTCGGAGAGGGCAGGCTGAAATTCAGACCAGGTCCGCTGGCCGCTGTTGTGATGCATGCAACGATGCTTGCTCGGGTGTCACAATAGGTTTAATGGTCCTAAACTCGATGTTAAACCCATCCTCAGCTCCGTAGTAGGGGGCGGCTCTGGAATCGCGTTCACGTTGGCGGCAAATAGCGGAGAGGTAGGCAGGTCGGTATAAAATCGAACGATTCCTCGATCAAAGTCAGTATTCGGGCCTGTCCTCGTGGTGTATCGTCACCGATTAATCCCTATCGTGTTTCGCCGTACTGAGACGCAAGGTAAGAGTCGACTCATCCGAACAAGGTTTCTCTTCAAAGTCCAAGGATCTCGAACAGGATCCAGCTCGTTCTTGCCGGTTCAACCGGTCATCTGTGTTGCCATCTGTGCTGTTGTTTCTTCTTTATTTTTGCGTTGTTATGTTAGTGTACTATAAATTTACGATTAACGTACGGCTGCTCGTGCGGGCAGATGCATCGCACCATCGTCATCATCGCCATCATCGTCTGCTGTTTCCTCGCATTGAGAGCCGCGGCGGAAGAGATCGTGCTGAATGAACAATCGCTTGGCCTCGGAAGCGTGGCTGTTGAGAATCAGGTCGATGGCGGCGCGGTACACACCAGGCAAAAGAGAACGTTGTTCTTGAAGAAGAAGCTGCTCGGCGCTGGCCTCCTCGGCTTCGGTCTTGGCGTTGCGAAAGGGTGAGAAGTTCCTCGTCGAGGATGCGAGATTTTTCTCCGTTAAATGTTTGTTCCTCTGTATTCTCTGTCGTCGTATCTCAAGTTGATGTGCACGGTCGTTTCTGAAGAAACCTGAAGATGCCTGTCAGGTGGACGCACTCTCGGTCGATTCTTCATCAATCCGATGGATATTATATCTTGGTCTCTTTTCCCTCGTACTTGCAGTTACAAGGCCGGTTACTACAGCGCGCCCGAAGTACACCATGTGTACCTTTCGCCTCCGGTGAAGTACGTGGAGTACGTCGAGAAACCGATTTACATCGAAAGGATCGTGCCGAAGCCCATTTACGGACTACCTCAGAAGGAGTATGCGCCACCAGCTTGGTCGCAGCCAGATCCGTCGCCTTCCTACGGGTAGGGGTCATCACGAGTACCTCGCGAAGTAACTCATCATCCTCGAGAAATCGCTTCTCTCGATGGCTACTTGGACCTTTCTCTCTCTCTCTCTCTCTCTCTCTCTCTCTCTCTCTCTCTCTCACACACATGAATTTTTCTTTGCAGCGCTTGGTAAACGTGGAGTGCATTTTGCTTGTCAGCGAGACCGTCCCGATGTGATCTCCTTGTTTTACCTCGGGGTACCAGAAACAGCCAAGCACGTGAGTGCAATGTGTCGCGTCTCAGTCAGGTCGTTTAACTACGTGTTGAGCGTGAGGATGGCAATAACATTGCTTAGTAATAGTAATCGAAGAAGTTGTTATTTTTGTTACCGATATATATAGACTAATAAACGTCGTAGCCTGTGTAAATATTGTGTTTGTCGTTCTTTGCATCTCCTACTGCCGTAGGACTCTACGAGATATTGTTTTTTCGAAAATAGGAGGACACTTCGTTTTTCGTTCGGAATCCGATGCGAAAGTTGTGTCTCCCGAGAACTTTAATTTTTGGCTTCTTTCGAGTTACATTAAAATCCGGAAATGGAGAACAAGCGGGACGGAACTTATCACGGGAGGGAAACTATCACGGAACGGTCATACGGCCGTATAGTCATCTTTATTGCCGGAGATGTTACCGAGTAACATTGAAATATCAGTAACGAGTATATAATCGCACGATGCGTCTGAAATATACAAATATCCGACCCTCGCTGTCGATTGCTATGCTACATATTTAGATCTTCTTTCGATATAACATCTCTTTTTTAACACGCAACATTTATACGTACAATTAAATTCTCTTCTATTCACAGTCAAACGTACGTATAGAAACGATGATCAGTGGCGTAACGAATATCCCGCCATTTTAGAGATAGAGGTGTTCGCGAATGAAAAGATCTTCATTTGTGCAATAACGTGTATCAAACAAATAAAAATAGTCATCAGAGCGAATGAATTTCTGGTTTCTCCGCGATTTTTAAGAGGATTTTCTTAGAAGCAAAACTATTAATTAAATAAATAATAGACATAAGTTAACAAATGATGATTAAATTATAATCAGAGGATTTTCAGCGTTAAATGCTTTCATTTAATTATTTACGTTTCGTTTAATTTTCTGCATATTTGTTACGCCACTGATAACAAATGGTTATTACGGCAAATGGATTAACAGGCATCCTTATGAAAAATATTCCAATCCTTCGCTGTCCTTCGCACTTCTCGATGGTTATTTACTTTTCATTTTTTCAGTGCGCTACTGAATTTTTCTGATATACCGTCGAAAGTTTAAAAAATCTGGTCACAAAAGTGATGGGGAAATGTGAGCGTATGGAAATTCTAGATATCGAGAGGGGATGAAACTTGAATTGCAAAGAGCTGACCGTGTCTCCGGATATTGTACAATCCGCGTATAATAATTTGAGGATGCCTGTCGTATGGAATGCGGAAAGACTCCGAGGGAGAAGTACAATCTATTCAGATTTATTTATATCGCTAACATTAGAGTGACTACGTGACTACACGAAGTACATCGAGGTATCGTATATCGTCTACAGCACGCGGCCGCGGACGCGCGTGCGTGTTCACGAATCACGCAATAATTATGCACCGATTTTCAAGCACGCTCTAGACAATCTGTAATTTGCGTCTTGCGAATTACGGACCATCTGCAAAATGGGTTTAAGAAAACATTTGAAGAGTTAGAATTACATTTATAGACATTTTCACAAGATGTGTACATATATACGTCTGAAAATCTTCAAATGTCTTCTTCTGTACGTCGCACATAAAATGAAAAGAAAGAACAGAATTTCGTTCTCCGAATTCCGCCGCGAGTTATAAACTTTTTAAAATGAGCTTTACCCGCAAGAATCTTATACAGCTGTTGAGAGCTCTTTTTCCTCGCGAGTGAGAGACAGCTATCGAAAATTACGGATCAGTTATTATTATTATACGGTAGCGTTAAAAAATGCGATTATTCCTTAACGATTGTCGTCCGGATTAGCGTCGACTGCGTCGAGGCTGGTTCAGAAAAGACCGTGAATAGTATATTCTATTATATATCATAGTAGAGATGCTCGCTAAACAAGAAACTAAGCAGATTCGACGAGCGTATTTGATTTCGAGACTCAGTCATAGACCGCGAGTGAAGAGGAAAGAGGAGACGCGTGAAATAGTCCTCTATTGATTCGGGGGACTATCCTCGTCATCGATAATTACACGACGGCTTATCCGCGCAAAATCTCCGATAAAATACGCAACGTGTCTGTTTCGTTTCTTACTTGCACACTTATCGTACATCCGATACAGTCAAAGGTAGCGTTATAATCGACAAATTGGCATATCGTATACGTATTAGTTATTTGTCGTCGCAAGTATAGAATTACTAAAGTTGCCATGTAAAATAGTGCCGATATACTTCTAACGCTGAGTGGAATCTCAAAGTCGACACAGCAGCAGACATAGTGTCGCGATAATCTCGTCAGTTGCTCAGGGAAGCTCCGATTTATGTGTGCCAGTTGTCAAAATGTCATTGCTCTTTAAAAGACACTGAATTAGTCTCGAGGCTAAAATTGTAACCAGATTGTAACCTAGACGAAGACAAAGATACGGTCGTTGATAAACGCTCCTAATCACTGACGAATAATATCCGACACTCTCCGGAAGTATGCGGAATTTTTAAACGGACACCGACTTCAGGATTGAGTTTCAAGGGACGGACGAAAGTTAACATGGACGATATGATGCTCAAAGTGGGGTTGCGAAGTATTCATCAGGTATCATGTAAATTGTATTATCCAGATAGCCTGAGTAAACACGTATGCGAAATTTTGATTGGAATCATTCCTCTTATTCAGTTTGGAAGCAGCTCATCATTTACTCGCTCACTTACTCGAGCCAAGTCGGCTGCTCGTTCTGCCCGAGAATCCAAGTTACCGGAATATTTTTCGAACATATCGAGTGCACATTCGATGACCTCGTCGATCTCGCAATCCGACGTCGGGGGAAGCAGTTAGTTAGTCCTGGCGCGATCGTCGAGTTAGCGAAAAATGACGGGAGATCAGCGCGATGGAGATTGTCGTCCGCGATAAGAGGCTGCTCTTCTACTCCCGTTGTCGGACGGGAATCTAACGAAACTGAGAGAAATACAATCCAATACAATCCAAAATCTCTCTCGGCGATTTAACGCGCTTACGAAGTAAATCCGACCGCGTCCCACGCGGAGTGCGTGCCGAGTGTTCGACGTCAAATTCGCGGCTACCCGGGGGTATCCTGTGACATATCTGGGATTACGAATATCTCACGTCGTTCGAGCCATCCGAGATGGACACCCGAGAATGTACATTCACATTTACACATTCGCATTCTCCGGGATACTGGAATGCCGAGTTCGACGAGGGATGGCCGTGGTCGAACAACGCCTAGTTGAGCCACCGGAAGCTCCAGTTTACCGGTAAAACATCCAAATACGCGGGGTCGACAGGTACAAACTCGCCGGAGGGACTTCGAGAACAGCGGGTCGCCCGTGAGGGTTTCTTCCGCTTCCTTTTTTCTTCCCCGCCGTCCCGCCAACGATTACCTATGATTGACCTACACGCGCGCTAACGCCATCGACTTTCTAACACACTCTCCTGGTCGCGGGTATTTTACGAGAAACTAATACGATGTACATCGAGATAAGATACGGATAAGAGACGGAGCGAACAACGAGTCACACACAATAGTGCAATCGTTTACGCGTCACGGCGAAACACGTGCTCAAAGCGCTACTGAGACCTTAAGGACGAATTATTGCGAACGGTCTTCGTGGCCGACGTGACTTCTCCGGATTCAGGCTCAGAAGTCTATGGATTGACTCCACCATCACCGTTTCCCATTGACCTCGCTTCAATTTCGTTTTTATATTTCTCGTTTACAGTCGCTTACTCAGCGCGTCTCACTGACGACGACGACGCGTCTATATGAACGCGCTCCTGCGTGCATCGTTTGCACTCCAAGCGTGACGCAGGTACTAGTTCGATCTCGTGAGATTCGGGCTTCTTTTCATGGAGTCTCAACGTAACGACAGTGACTCGACGGACAGAGAGACCGAAGCGGCGTGACGGTAGTTCTGAAGGAGAGGCCCAGGGGTGGCTGGCACCTCCTCGATTCTCTCCAAGTCGTTAGCCGCGCCCGCGCTGTTTTGCTTGTACAGACGAGGAGTTGATCTTTGGCCGACTGTGCCGGACTGCTCCGGGATCGTGGTCGTCGGATCGTCCGGACGGTCCAAGCTAAATTGCCTTTTGAGTATTCGGCAGCCGGGACCTTTCCCTGAAATCAGAAATGTCAAAGAGATAATGTAAGAATGTACGTGAATTCGAGAAGCCGCCGTGGAATCAGAATAGCTTGCAATTACATTTATATAGAAATTGTTAATAATTTAGGTCTAGACAAAACGCTAAATGTACAACAGATTTTTTAAATCAAATTTTGAGACTATATTATCCACATTAGACAAAATTAGGGGGCAAAATTAGGAGACAAAAATTAGAGCTTTCGACGTTCATGACAAATCTCAACTTATGATTGAATATGTTTGATTTGAATCTTTTAGGCAAACAATACAAGCGTGAAACTACCGATCGCTCGCAATCGCACACTCAATCTTGAAGACTCAATTCTCAAACTCCAGATACCGAGACTTTAATTTCTGCGCACTGAGGATGCATCATGAATACGTACCGTGATGCTCATTGGGCGACAGACACCTGTAGTAATTATACGGAGTGCTGAGGTCCTTCTCGTCGATGCAGCCGGCGAGCCGTCGAAGTCTTGGCGGCTGTCGATACGTCGCCGAACTGGCGATCGACGTGAGCGAGCTAGTAGACGCTCCGAGGACCGTCGCCATCGGCTCACCGCCGGATACCAAGGACGACACTCCGAGGGAGGCCTGGGTGTCGCCGGATGTACTTTTGCTGACGGTACCGGCATGCTCGCACGTCTTAGTCGTCGGATCTTGCCTTCCAGACAGCGCTTCCATGAAGTCGTTGGTGGACTTCAAGGAGTAGCTGGGCAGCAGCGAGCGCTCGTCGTGCACGGAGACTGACACCTTCCTGGTGCTGGGCTCCTCGAAGGAGCCGGCTCGACTGTCGTTGTTAGCTAACCCGCTGCTGATCGAATCGTCCCTGTTGACTGTTGCCTCGACTGGTTCCTCAGGTTCCTCGTGCGTTTCGTCCTGCGACGGGATCACCGGCAGCTGTGAGCCCGCCGAGTCGCTCGACAATCCGCTCGGTTGGCTTTCGAAGATCAGGCTCTCCTCGCGCCTTCGCAAATTCAGGAGACTGTGAGTCTCATGCCGTTACAGCGCTTTTTTATGTCTCATAAATGACGGCGTGAGCCGTCGGACGAAATAGTAATACAGATTAATTTTTCCATATCGGAAAATATGAAGAAAATAAAATGAAGACGAATATGCATGTTCGTGGAAATGGAAAATGATGACACTCATATCGAAGTGGTAAAATCGGATTATATCGATGCCGCGTATTTTTCCATAACGAAAAAGATTTCAAAACTTTCATGTCGTCCCGAAAAGCCCTCGCTTCCAGATGGTAGGATATTGTGAACTTTTGTTTCACCGACGTCTATTACTGTCATTCAACTGTTCAACGACATTCGTGCGCTGAGATGCGGACGTGAGAATCTTTGGAGTAAATTTCAATGCGAGGCGGCATTCTCGATACCACGGCGGCGAGCCAGGTGTTTCAAATTGGTGTTTACTCATGAGCGATGCGATGCTGCGCGCCTGTATTGTCCGTAGAATTCGTAGGAACGGAAGACCTGACTCATAAAAGTCATCATGACCGCGACCTGGAGTGACATTATTATCCCACCGAAGAAGAAAGAATCGTTTGAAGGAAAAATAAGCCCGAGCACAACGATACACGAGAAGTAAATTTGAAATTAAAATGAGATCCTGACGTAGATTGCACTTCGATGTTGATGCTTCCAAGTGGAATTTCACTCGCGCGCCATCGCCAATCTACGTTACTCGCCATAACCGATCGATAATATTTTTATGAAAAAGCCAAAGAAAAAGAAACAATTTACCGTTAAAGCCATTATCGTCCGGATAGCAAAAATTTGACGGCTACGTTATTAGACAGAATGATAGATAGACGGTATTAGAGAGAGTTATTGTGGGAGCATATTGACGTGGAGAACATGATATATTCAAGTCTTCTTGCCGAACTGTGTCTGACGTGTGGCCCGTGGAAGATTTATCAAATGTAAAATGATATGATCGATTCGTGGGAACGTCGAGTTATTTTCTTGCGAGTCTACTCACCCGTGGTTCTCCCTGAGTATAGAGCGGCAGAATGGCAACAGATAAAAGCATTAAATATCTGGAAAGTAAATAGGACGAATAAAAATACACTGCGTTGGAAATCCCGAAACTTCCGCGAAAACTTTCCCATTATCGTATTCGCGAAAATAATTATCACGTATACGTAGATAATAATATTCTCAAGAATCTCTCCAATTAGAGAACCTCTAATTTATTATTTAATTCAAATTTCATCTCGCCGGAGAGGGAGCATATATATTTCAGCTCTTTAATATTTGGCATTCAGTGGGAGTAATGAAAGAACTCCTCGGGAGCTCCTTGGTTTCTTCGCAATTGCCTGAGAGACACGAACTCGGCCTTCGCTATTCACGTGGAAACTGTTCGCGCGAGCTATTTAATTTTCAACCTTGCCGTGTCGCTCAAAGCGATACGTTGATTTGAGGCGACTATTCTTCTCAGATCTGACTCCACGTCATCCGCGACTGTTGGAAAGGCCGCGCTCGAAGGGTCGAAGGAAAAGAGCCCGCATAATACAAGCGTTAACCCTAAGAATACGAGGCCCTTTTCGCCGTTTACGCGGCGCTACGCAAGTAGGTCAATTTTTGCCCGTGGGTATTATAAAAAAAAAATAACTCGCGTGAGAAAAGCTTGCCGGTGAATGTCGCGTTTACGAATACGGCAGCCACGACGAAAAATGTTAAGTACAAAGAACGAACGTTCGATGGGGAGGAAGGGAAAAGAACAAAAGAGAGAAGGGGAACGACAGGCCGTTGGGAAAAAAGAAAAAAAAAAACTTAACGCACGGATGCAGCGGCGCGCGCGAGTTGGAAAGTCGCGACTTATTCTTACGTAATTAAGAACTCCCGGGTGCGTTTCTCTCGGCCTCGGTCGAGTTTAAAGTCCAAAGCACACAACACGGGTGCTCTCGTTGATTAAATATAACCCTCGTCTCCGTGGCGATCCGGAATGCGAGAGGCGAGAGACTGCGGTGCCGGGGAAAGTTTCCCGTTCGCTGCGGCGAGAGTCTCCCTCGCGGCGAAAACCCCGAGCGAAACAGCCGGGCGCGAGAAAGAGGGTCGCGTCGAATATAAAGAAGGTCCGTCGCAATAAATTGGACTTCATAACGCCGGCCGGATGCGCCCAGACGTTGAATCACGCCCGTTGAAAGCTACACGTCTGCACGACGACGACAACGACGACAAGCCCGGACTCACGTCGTCGTCATCGTAAGCCCGACGACGAGGTGTCCGAAAAATAGCCGCGATAAAGCTTACCCGAGGGGCGGCGGCCTGGGTAGCTCCTTGTCGAAGCCCTGCTTGCCGAGCAGCCAGTAGGTCGGCATCTTGCCTTTACCCTTAACATCGGTGGGCCCGCGGTATTCAATGTGGTAGCCGCCGACCTGCGTCAATCGATCCCTCGTTGCCTGGCTCAGATGGATACGCCACGGCGCGCCGGTTGACTCCATCCTCGAGGCGGTGTTCACCGTGTCGCCGAACAGGCAATAACGCGGCATCGTTAGCCCCACCACGCCGGCACAGCACGGTCCTGAGGGGAAGAATTCCTTAACCCTTTAATGGCCGCGCGTCCCGCAGCGGAATAGATATTCATGGATTCAAGGGGATGAGGGAGAGACGGGGGAGAGCGGAAGAGAGCTCTGCCGCGCGCTTCCGGCCGAGTGAGCGAGGAGACGCGCCTCGCGCGATCGCGCGGCTATTGTTCTTAAGTGGGTGTATCGATACTGGAATTTGCTACTTCTTTTTCTGCTTTCAGGAGGGATCGCTCGAAGGATGCGCTAACCCGTATGAAGACCGATGCGTAGCCGCAGCGGCGTGTCCGGGAGATGCTTCAACTTGAATTTTCCGCTCTGGTGCAGCAGGTCAAGCGCCATGGTCGCCACTTGGGATGCGTGATCGGGTATTCGCACGGGGCAGCCACCCACGACCATGTAAGCGTCGCCGATGGTCTCCACCTGTGTGTGATATTCCAACATGCGCTCGGTATTATCGGAATCCGGCAGTCCTTTCATGCAATCCGGTTATTGTGTCTGCACGTGTCCCTCATGTTATTTGTCCACTAATTCCGCGCGTAGAGCCGTCCGTTATCTTTATTCGCATTCCCGCTTGGGGTTCCGCGAAGGGCGTTTCGTAAATTGTGAAAACTGCTGCGTTAGAAAAGGGGAGAAAAGCAACGCCGCACGCGAAAAAATGTAATGCACGACAACGACAATCGACGAAGCGTTATTTGCTCGTGCAAAACGCGAGCAGTCGCGCGTTTTATTTTCCCGCCGAACTTATCGGCCGCACGCAGCGTTGTGCGTAAATTAGTTTGAAAGAGAAAATATTATTTTATTTCATTTGATTCGAGCGCGGAACGACGTTTCGACGGGAATAAATCCGTTGGCTAAATGTTTACCTACGCTCTCGCGATTCATTGGATTTACCTTGTAGACCGTGTACGCGTTAATTGTGTCGTCGAAACAAGTATACAGATCGTTGAGCAGATCGACCACCTGAAAGGGCGTCGAGCGCGCGGATATCGTGGTGAAGCCGACGATGTCCGAGAAGTAAATCGTGACCTCGCGGAACTCCTCGGGATCGACGGGCATGCCGAGCTTCAGTTTTTCGGCGACCGAGCTGAAAGCACCGATCCAAATGATTTCTCAGCAGAAGCGATGAAACAGTGAGATTGGAAAAAAAGGAGAACGCGGGGAATTCAGCGAAAATGTCAAAATCCAAGCGAAAATATCGAAAACGTTAAACATTACTCAGTCTGAGAAGACTCGTACAGAGAGAGAGAGTGAGAGAGAGAGAAAGAGAGAGAGAGAGAGAGAGAGAGAGAGAAAGAGAGAGAGAGAGAGAGAGAGGGAGGGAGGGAGGGGGAGGGAGAGGGAGAGGGAGAGAGAGAGAGAGAGGGAGAGAGAGAGAGAGAGAAGAGTAGGAAAGCCGAGTCGCGCGAAATTCTATCGAAATATCAACGAGAATCCAAATAAGTCACTTCCAATTAAATTACACTCACGAGCTAACGAGCTACTTTGATACTTGTGCCGCTTACCTAGGTAACATTCTGTTCAACAACTGTTCAGTCTTTTTCTTCTCCATGTCGAGCTGCTCGGTACGCTCTCGGATGAGTTCCTCCAGGTTGTTGGAGTACTTCTCGAGCATTTGGAATATCGTGTCCACGAAGTTGACTTTCCTGGAAATCAATCAGACGGGGGGGAGGGGCGACTAAAGGGCCGTATCCCTCGCTTTGCACAGTCGGGCGACGCACTTCTCTCTCACGCTAACGCATTTCGCTCGTCTCTTTTTAGCGCGATGCGCGAATCAATCATGCGCAACTAATCGTGCATAATTAATCACGCGGCTAATTATTTATATGTCCATTTAATTGTCGCGGCGCCTCATCGGCGCGATTAGTTATTGGCGCTTGTTGGGAGAGGATTACACGGCCAAATCGAATCCTGATTAGATCCGTGAGAAATGGATTTCCACGGCGCAGCCCTTATTGACGTCCCGGCCAGAAATATATGTCCGGTATTTCCGCGCCCCTGCGGATACAATAGCGCGGAATTGGACGGGGTGGTTTTACCTTCCGTGATTCAGCTTCTTGAAGAGGTCGTGCACGTCGTCGAAGTCGGGCCTCATCTCCTCGGCTTCCGCCCAACACTGGCGCATGATGTTTATGGCTTCCGGCGGTGCGGCACCCTTGCTGACCGACGGCCTGATTAGCGGCGGTGGCCTCATCACTTTCTCGATTATATCTGCGAGATACGAGACGTGTGCGGTCCTCGGATGTTAGTCGATTCTACTCTGATTCTAACGTCTCGCTGACGATCGATTTCGAGCTTTCGCACCTCACGTTCGAGTCATAGTCGCGCGATCGTGCGATTAATGCCGATAAAAGGTTGATCGACGAGCGACAGATGCGCGTTAAATCAATCGTCGGCGACAGTCGACGAAAGGAGAAACTTGGGAACTTTGATCATAAGAATCGATTTACTCTCGCGGCTTTCTGCTCGCGCTATTCGTTGTCTTATTATTCCGAAACCGAATGTCTGACAAAAGTTTCTAATACTTTCAAGAGCCGTTGTAGAAGAGAAATGGCGCGTTCATTACCTTCCGGCGACAGGGCGAGCATGCAGAACGGCTCTCCGCGAACAACGACTTCCTGCATAATAATCCCGAAGCTGTAAACGTCTCCCGGCTGGGTCCCCTTTTTTCGCAGATTCGGATACCTGAGCAGTTCCGGCGCGGTCCATAACAGGTCTGCCGAACAAGAAGCCGGCGGACAAGATTACTATTGAAATCCGCTCCGACGCGCGGTAGTTGTGCGAGCGCAATTTCTCACGCCGTTCTTCAATTAACGGCCAACATGCCATCCAACTTTTAATTAGCGCGACTTTGTAATTCGAGTTATCGCATAATAAAATTTCCAAGTGAGACGGAAACACTTGATGACGGAGTTTGACAAGCGCGAAACTTGACGCGCAATTTGACTCGGCGGCAGGGGCTATTCATTTATTGCGACAACATAATGTCCTTCCGTGAACACGCCAGAGAAGCCGCTTTGAGATTATCCAAGCTCTGACTTGAAGGGTTACATCGAGAGAAAAACAGAGAGAAAGAAAGATCGCACGTGCGTGCAGGAGAAAGTTCTAACGAGATGACGAAGAAGAAGAGAGTGAAACGAACAACTTACCTCGGGCTGTCTTAGCCGATGGCACTATGTTCTGTGCTTCATAAAACGCAGGCAGGCCGTAGTCGGTGACTTTCAGGACCCACCTTGCGTCGATGACGCAGTTGCGCGAGGTCAGACAGCCGTGGATGCGTATCGGCGTGCCGTGCAAGTATCTCATGCCCTGGAAGCAGAAGAAATCGCCTCGAAGGATCGGTATGGTAATTCAAATTAAGATTGAAGGATAATCATCTCGATACTTCAAATTTGGTTGGCTATTAAACATCAAACGCATGACTCTTTGCCCATGTGGTATGCTGGCAAGGACTTCCAAGGAAATTTACGACTGAGCTTCGAGAATGTTTGTCGGTTCTAAAGCGCTCGCGATCTTGTAGATTACTCGGACGGAGCACCGAATAGATGGATGTTGACTTTCCTTCCTCCGAGATACTTATCGCACAAACTGTTTCCGAACTCGCTGAAGTTCTTCTGCTCCTCGAAATCTCCTCACTTCATATCATGTAGCAGCACGTGATCCTACTCACCCGCACGAGATCGGTGAGCAAGGATAATCTGAAGGACCAGTCGAGCTTGATATCGTCCTGGACAAGCACGTCCTCCAGAGAGCCTCTCGAACAGTACTCCAACACTAGGCAGGGTCTCGTAGGTTCGTTAAGGCATCCAATCAGAGGATTGAGGTTCTCGTGTCGCAGCCCGTGGATCTGGCCAAAAGTAAGAAAGTGGCGAGATCTGTAGAATCGAGCGAGTCTCGGAGAATTACGAGTAAAAAGATGTGTGCCTTTACCGTGACCAGCACGTCCATGGCCTTGTTCTTCAGTTCGAACGTACCTTGAAGGGGCAGCTCCTTCAGTTGTACCAGGTCACCCTAGTAAAAAAATCAGAACGGAGAATTAACTCGCGAAGTGGACATCACTGCGTCGCACATCCTGCGTCGAGCACCTCGCATTCGGTCGTCCCGTCGCGGAAACGCCGCGGCGTTCGACGATGCGCGCACGCGGCTCAACGTTACGAAGGTAACGAAAGATCAGCTGTTAGTGGATATTTTAATAGCGGCTTATCAATCTTGATTAGAGGCGCGAGAGGCGGTTCTTATCGTCCGATCTTATTATGAAAGCCGCGGCATTAATCAGTGTCACGATGCCGTCGCAGCACCGTCGCGACGCGCTAAAATGAATATCGATGTATAACCGGGCTGTATTCTTGGCGCCTTCGCATAATGCCTTCGCGCGTCGCGTCGCGTCGCGTCAGGCGGAAAATTCGCGGAAGTGATCAACGATGAAATTGGTGAGAGCGCGAGGGTGAGAGCGTATTGGAGGATGCTGGTGCGTCGATAAACCCTTGGAAGCGCATTACGGAACATTCTGGAGCCGCTCTTACTTTCCTCGCTTGCGAATCTCCTCTTGGCGAGTATAGTAGTGGCTAAATAAATCCGCGTTTATTAGGAAACGAGCCATTTCCACGTGCCGCGATACACCCGGCGGCTATTAGCCGTCTTATCTAGCGGCGGCTCCCGCGAATGGCCAGGTGTTTATCGGAGTTGGCCAACTCGATTAGCAGGTCCGGGCTCGCGCGATCGAGCTCGGGGCAGGCTCGAAGGAAGCCAGGCGCTGAGCCAGGCGAGACGGATTCTCGCGCCTGTCTAGCGCCAGCCGAGTAGATCGAGTGCGGCTGTTATCGGCCCGATCGGCATACTCACGTTATACCTAGCGCGCGGATTCTTGAAGAAAGTATGTCGCAGCATATTCCCGCTGTTGGTCTGCAAGTACGGCCGTAGGGAGTTCACACTTCCTAGCTGGAGCAGATCCGGCTTTTCGACTTCCGGGCCGCCGAACTCCTGCAGCTGCTGTAGCCAGCAGCACAGCATCGCCTCGATGCCCTCGTCTACCTGAGAGCACACGTGAGCCGCGCGCGATAAAGTGCTTAGTGCGAAAACCACTCGAGCGATCGTCTACGAGGGTAATAGGATCGTGTAGGTACGCACAATGCCGCTGAGGGCAGGCTCTCGGTCCTGATGTGATTTGAGCCTCGACATAAAAAGGACCGCAAGCGCGAAAAGGATATGGTCGCGGGAAGGGAGTTAAGTGATATTTTATTTACTCGAAAAAAGAGGCGGAACGGAATCTCTTTACGTTTATTTTGTACCCCTTAAAACGCTCCCACGTGCACTTGTTACAGCGTTCTCAGCTGTGAAACGCGAAGCTGTCTTTCCGTCTCGGCAAAAATCATTTTTTAAAAAGCGTTTCTCTCTCTCTCTCTCTCTCTCTCTCTCTCTCTCTCTCTCTCTCTGTCTACTTTTTGTGCGCGCGCGCGATATTTCTTCTTATCTCACCTTATTCAGCCGCGAGGCAAGATAGAACCGCAAGAGATTAAGTGTCGTTTCTCGAGCATGAAGATTGCGGCAATGTAAAAGTCGTTCAACGTCCCGCGTATTAGCGGTGGATGTTTAAAGTTTGCCGGGCGGTTCGATGAAGCTCGGCGAATCGAGACTCCGTGCTGACATTTAATACTTTTTTTTGTTATCGGCTACTTTTGTCGCGCCAGCCAGTAATTTAAAAACTCACGTGCTGCAGCCGTGCCTCGCGTGAAACATATCCTTCCAGGACCGCGGCGCAATCCTTCCTCGCGTAGATAAAGCAACCACCACGGAGGGCGTCAGGAGGGATTTCTAGCCCGTCCCGTGGCGAGGAAAAAGTTAGCGCTAACACAATTTCGCAATCGTGACTCAACGACTCGCGGAAAACTGTTCTCGCCGAATCAGGTCTTCGTTCCGGCGCGCGCGGTGAAACGTAAACAGCGCTGTAACGTTTTACAACGCACCTGCCGAAACGAGCGTGCGCGGCGGGTCTTGATTCTTTTTTTCGAAGTATCCCGCTAATGATTTCGCACAGCAACTTCTTAATCCTTCCAGTGACTTTGGTGGGATTAAAAGTCCGAACACACTTGTATTGCGCGCGTCGAACGAAATCTCACTCACCGTTTTCGAATTTATTGGAGGCACTTGAGGGAAAACAAAGTCCGACGTCGTCAGGATAATTTTGTACGGCCCTTTGGACATCCTCTTTTTGAGCAGGCGCTTCCTATATAACGTATCGTACATTAATCCTCTCATCATCTTGAGTTTCTCTAGGATGTTAGATCCGGTTTTGAAATTCAAAGCCGTCTAGTTGAGCTGTCTAGTTCCTTCCGCTCTTTCGATATATTCGATATTACGTCGTAATAATAGTAATAATAAATGCCACATTGCATTATCAATTAATTGCATTATAATTAATTTACATTTGTATTAAATTGCATTCTACCAAACAGTGCAAGTATGCGTGACGTCGACGTGAGAAATACTCCAAGAAAGTGGAGAACGAGAAAGGACTCATCGCTCATGTATATTTTCTTCGTTTCCATTATGCTAATTGCAAGCTACAGGCGGTCGTGTACTCATGAATCACGGCAGCGGTATCGGAAATACTCCGGAACCACGTGGTCGCACGTATAAATAATGCGTGCACGAGCGAAAGGGGTAAAAGACATGGTCACTTCCTAAGGTTCGACCAAGGGCTATAAATGCTATGGTGCAAGATGATAAAGTGATCGCTCACCGGATTATAATCGCGATAGCGATGGCGACAAAGGTGAACAGCAGCGACCCCAGAATAATAGCTACGATATGTGTGGTGCGGAAAGACATGTCGGCCAAGCCACCTGCTAAATAACAAATGCACTGTATTAACGTAGTTACGCCGGGCGATATTTTCAGATTCGAGGGAGCAGCTCGTGCCTTCGTCGATGCTCCGTCGATGATAGTCTATCCTTCGCGCCTTTCTCCGTCCGGTAATTACACCGGCCTATTTTTACCGCTACTTTCCCCGATCACAGCGGCGTGTCGCACGCGCGTCACGGAGAGGATCTCGATAAATAACAAATAAAATCTTTCTCTCAATGCGTCGCCTTTACCCGCGGAAAATATAGCTCGCCGATTACGTACTATCAACTGCGCGTCAGCCACGAAGTTGTTTATCGGCCCGAAATCTTGAAATATTCAGAAGAAGGCCGAGAGACCCGAAAGAGGCGCAGAACGCGTAAGTAGAAACAGACGCTGCTCGTCTGGCCGCGGGTGAAGCGTTTCCCACGAGCGTTGTTCCGCACGGAGGATGTTAATCATCTCCTCCCGATTGAATCGCCGCGTATATACATACCGTATGTAACAGCAGCCATCATTTATTCAGCTCACTCACCCGCGCAATCGGCGTCGTCGTCGCAGGATAGCAGATCGGAACTCTCGACGTTGAGGAACGCCAGCGCGTTAGGCGTCAGCTGCTGGACCAGCAACCGCTGCTGCCGCTCGACCACCGCGAGGATCGGCTCCCAGCTGGTGCCGTGCCAGTCCATCAGGGCGTATGTGTACATCTTGTTGTTGTGGCTGTCGATGCTGCTGTTGTCGTGCGTCAGCACGGCCAGCGACTCGTTCAACCGGTCGAGCAACGCCACCGTCGCGTAGTCCTGCGTGCCGTTGAAGACCTTCTGCACGTCGTACCTGTGAAGAGATAGGTGCGAGTTGTATAAGAGGACAGAAGCTGCTCGCACAAAGGCGACGCGGCGTCGCGACGACCGGCTGGTTCCTGCGAATGAATCACCGGCCCGAATTACACGGATCGACGCTCGCAATTAACTCGGCTCGACAATCCGACGAGGGTGATTTGTATTATAATTCGAGGACACGGGATTCCGCGCGCGCGCGCGCGCCCGCGCGAACACGACGGATGAGGTCTCTGTCTACTGTGATTACACGGAGTTCTCGGCTCGCGCGACGGGAAGGGAGAACTTCGATTAAGGGCAGCGCAAATTCCTCGAGTCGTATCTCGCATTGCGCTCCGAACTGGATTCGCTAAACGTCGAATTCCCGCGTTGAGCGATCGCGCGGTACCAGAAGCAGATTTCGATAAAAAAAGAAAAGAGAGCAAGAGAGGACTGCAGGTATAATCGTTGAGCGGTTCGGAGCTCGAACGATCTGGAAATTTTCCTCATCCGCGTCGATTAACCGAGAAAATTGTCACACGCATATCGTTAATATTTTTCATGACAAACGTTCGTGATATAACCTAACAACGATCGGTGATATTGACGATTTACGGAAGACTGCGAACTCTCTCTCTCTCTCTCTGTTTCTCCGACTTTTATCTTTCACGAAGACTTTTCGAGATTCGCGCAAGAACTTCGAGTCCCAGACGCCTGCACTCACTCGCCGCGAGCAATCGCAGCAACTGGAAGTGTCTTTGAGCCAATACCATTAACAAGAGATTACCTTTGATCGAGCGGTGCGACCGCGACTAGGTTCTCCGTCGTGGCACTGCTGAGGTTTCTCGGCGGAGAGAACCTGCGCGGCGTCAACTGCAATCTCCGCGGCCTGTCGTCGTCCTGCGGAGCCTCGCTGACGCGAGTTATGTTCGATGTAGAAAAATTGGAAGACTGAGTATTCGCGGAGTGTGCCAAGGTCGATGGGTCGGTGGCGAGCGAGGTCGGCGAGTCGTCCTTCGGTAGGAACGGGTCGATATCCTCCGTGTGGATCATCAGGATGACGGAGTTCTGGATGTGCGCTTGCCAGGCGACGTCCAGCTCGATCAGGACGCGATTCGTCGTCTCGTCGAACAGCGGCAGGCAGAGCACAGTCGCTGATGAAAGAGAGTCATTAGGTTTGCGTGCGTACGAGGGAAACAGCATCGCGTCCGGCCGTGAGTCCGTGTGATTGCGCAAGAAAACTCGATATACTTGCGAATAAACAAAGGGTGGAATATTCGAACAAGGCCAATATGCCAATTGACGAGAGTAATTGAATTATTCATTACGTGACGTCGTCAGCTGTAGTTATCTAGCGGAGTCCTTCTCGGCGATTCAGTCGCGGTGATGACAGGCGAAGAGTTGAAGCGGATCTGTCTGTTCTTTCTTTTTTCTTGGATTCTCATTCTCCGCGAGAAGGGCGGAGTCGGAGGATACAGAGGGAGCTGGGACAATCGGCGACTAAGACACCCTCGCTTATTTAATGATGTTATTCTGCCTGTACACGGCGACTTCACTCGGCGCGACACACGGAAACTCTATTCAGAATGAACACGCACACGCCGTTATCGCGGATATTATACTCAAGTAAGCTCCGCGGTAGTTTACTGTCGTTAATCAACAAAACTTAATTCATTAGCAAGTTTGTTTTCCGTGTTTGGTCGAAAGTCCCGACATTAGGAGATTAAACGCTGACGGTGTAATCGCCGATGTATTGTGCAAGTAGGTACGATCGCGTGTAGCAAATGGCCGTTTCTCATATTCAATGAAAGAATTCTTCGATGAGACAAAGGCAGACGTTGCGACATTGAGCGAGATAATTCGCCGCCGCTGGCTTCTCGCTCTCTTGATCTTGTCGCTGGAAGTTCCGCCGAGCCGCTGAGGCAATATGACAAAACGAATGGCGACAGAGGGATTCTCGAGCTCTAACGGAGTCTACCTAACGTTCTTTATCTTTTTCCTTTTTCTTTTTATTACGACAGATATATAAAGTCGGCTATTTGATCATACGTCTAGCAGAAGAAGACGTTCCTCTTTGCGCAGTCACAGAAACGTGTGTGCACGTGCGTGCGAGTATATGAGTGTACGAGGAGGGGTTGATCGCCAGGGCGGAGAAGGGTAAATCGTAAAAAATTATATATTAGCTAACGAGAGTGGAGGAGCGAGCCACTGAAAGGCGATTAAGCTCACGACGCAGTCTTACACTACCTTTGCCGAAGACAACGCTGAAGCCTGAAATTTTAATTAAAATGTTGCAGGCAAGAGAGAGAGAGAGGGAGTGATATGTGCCGTGTGAAATCGCAGCCATGAAATACCGTGCGCGCCCTCGCGGAAAAGAGAGACTATTTATAATTAATATTAATTGAGTCCACAGCAAAATGCATATTAATTAAGAGCGACTGCCTTCCCGCTGGAAATGCAATTGTGACTCTGGAGAGCAGATCGCAGGGATGGCAGAACGAATTTCTGACGCGATAATTGAACAGTCGAGAACTTCTCGCGAGCGCGGCGCCTTTTTGGAATTTTTTACGCGGAACGATACATGGAAGGTTAATTGTCGAATAATCTCTTTCTCTCTCTTTCTCTTTCTTTCTCTCTCTCTCTCTCTCTCTCTCTCTCTCTCTTTCTCTTTCTCTCTCTCCCTCTCCCTTCTCGGGCCCAGGCGCGACGCAAGGCTCGCAATCGCGACCGCGCTTCAGGCGCGGAGCGATGCCACGACCGTTCAGTCTTAAGGTTGAAATTAATTAAAGCAACGGACTCTCCCTGATTACGTCGTATCTTACGTTGAAATATACATTCGCGCGAAGCGGATGCTCGCTCTTGAAAGGGTCGCGTCGCGCCGTTACTAGACTCATTTGCATCCACGAGCGCACCACTGAGCGTCGTAAATCGCCGCTAACTAAGTTGGCCGCTACCGCGCGAGGTTAGCGAGACGCAATCGCGACGGCTTAATGCAAAATGCCCGCGGAATTTTAAGCCGCGGCCGCGCGTAAACGATCGCCGACTCGACCATAATAAGCGAGTCGTTCTCCCTCGTATTTTTCTTCTCTCACGTTTTTCCCTCTCCCCTCCGCTTCCTTGCCCGCTTCATACACACGCTGCGCTTCGGAGACTGCAGGTGGGTTTTATCGCGCCGATTTTGCACAGTTAAACACCTGCTATAGCGCATTACGCGCCCGTCCAACGAGTTTCGTACGTACGCCTTTTGCGAAGCAGAGGCGCGAAACGAATCCGCGGAAGACCGTATTAACTTCTTCATAAACCCGCCGCGCGGTAAACGACCCACGCACACGTACCCTGGCACTTTTGCGCGTCACGTGCTTTACCGTAGTCGGGTCGTGGCGGATCGCTATTCAAAACGAATAAAAGATCTGCAAACAGATCCCCCCGTCGAAATCCGTTTACGCATGTAAACAGCGATAATTCGTGCGCTACGCCACGTCGAGGCATCGATCGGTTTGTTTTATCTGCTTTGCAGAGAGAGAGAGAGAGAGAGAGAGAGAGAGAGAGAGAGAGAGAGAGAGAGAGAAGAGAGAGAGAGAGAGAGAGAGAACGAAATAAATTTTCGAACGTGCGTTAATTCGCTTCGACTGCGAAGGCGGGAAGAAAGCCCGGCATTTGTCTCGACGATGACAACGACGACGACGACGGTTGACTCCTCGGGGGTTCTAAAGTTAATTCTTCCTCGCGCAATAATGTCGCTTCTTTGCAATTTAAAAAAGGTCGCCGTTTAATATCGAAGAACTATCGGCAAACTCGCGACCTATCAGCAAGAGAGAAACAGAGAGAGAGAGAGAGAGAGAGAGAGAGAGAGAGAGAGAGAGAGAGAGAGAGAGAGAGAGAAAGGAGGGAGGACAGTCAGCGCGAGTCGGCTGGAAATTTATGAAACGAAATTAACGTCGGAGGTCCCGGAGCGCTCTGTGCGAGACTGCGACGGCGGAATAAATGGAATTAAACAATCGAGCAACGAATCCCCCTCGGAGCAGTTCGGACGCGGACGGCGTCGCCATCAAACTTACATCGCGGACTGCGTCGTAACTGCCGTGAACATTCTCGATCTCGAGCGGCAAGATCTAAAGGGACGAACTCTCACTCATCCCTCTCCCTCTCGAAAGAGAGTGAGCGCGTCGTTTAATTTAATCTTCGGTTCGCTAGTTTCAGTGAGTAGCTTCGACGGAAAGCTCGCGCGGTTCCGGCGCTATCCTTGAAGCGGCGAGCTCTCCCTGATCGTAAGGATTCGTGGAGGCGGATCCAACGTGCACGCACAGCATATTCACACTCACGCACTCACGACGTTCACTCGAACTCACCTCGACGCGAGACGCTGCTCACGGACCTCAGGATCCTGCGGATCTGCTCGAGGGTGGCGCGATGAGGTAGGATCAGGTGGTAGCGCAGGACGACGCCGATCCTCTCGAGTGCGTTGATCACCGCGCGGTCCAGGCTGGACCACGGCTCGCGATCTGCGGCAGCGGTCAGTCCGGTTAACTCGCGTTACAATTCAATACACTCGTCGTGTTGCCACGTAATCGGATTTTAATGGCCACCTCGGCCGAGAGCGCCGGCCAGCTTCGGCCGGCTCTCTCTCTCTCTCTCTCTCTCTCTCTCTCTCTCTCTCTCCCTCTCTCTCTCTCTCTCTCTCTCTCTCTCTCTCTCTCTCTGTTATTGTGTTCGTCCTCTCGCGCATAACTCTCGCACGCCGCTGCGATTTAATCCTTAACGCCCTCGATTCGCCGCAGGATCGCGTTACGACGAGTCATGCAGCGAGAAGTCGTACGTTATCTCTCGCTCTTGCGCGTTGTGCACATAGAGATGGTAAATGAGCTCGCTCGTGTGCGCACTTTGGCGCGAGCGAACGCACGCGGGGATGTGCTACATCATTGCGTCCATTTTGCGCCGTGAATTGATAAGAACCTGGAAATATTAATCCATTCCTGTCGGAGAGATCATAGTTCAAAGTTTCCAAGTTATCTTCGCCTACGAGAGAATGAGATTGCAGCCGAGTTTTAGGAATTATCGAAATCAATACGGCTCCATTGGCGAACCGAGAGAGTTTCGAGTGCACAGCTTGGCGCATAGTTACTGTCTCATTATGCTTAACGGAAATTACATCCTCCGAGGAAGGAAAACAGTTCACTGCAACTTATAGTTCGATCAATGAGAGATCACATCGTCGTGAGAGATTTATTATCATTTTGTTCGTGTAGTAAAACTAAAGAGCATCGTCGAAGGAGGCCGATTCGTAAAAGGAAGCTGTGTTACTTAAAGATCGTTACTTGAAGAAGAGTTTGAGCAACACTATTTCGTTGTGTACTCTCCTTTACTCGCACGACAGGATAAAAGGATCTGCCTGCAATAATTACGGTTAGAGTATTATTGCCGTCGAGACTTACCGATACCAATAATGGCCGCGGTTTTCCACTGCAGGTGCAGGAAAATTTCCGCCACGGCGTTAGCCATTGATGGTAATGACGGAGAAAGCCTAATGACCGATGAGAGATCCCTCTCCTTCAAATCTCTCTGAAACATAAATTGAGACGGTCTTCGTGGTCCTCTGGAATTTTAACTACATGATCATTGAAACGTTGTATATTTTCGGTCGGCAGTCCGCGTCTATTTGAAATCAATACTATCCGGGGAGAGAACGAGATTTTATGCAGGGAAGCATTCGAGTCATAATTCTCCTCGCTCGTTTCACTTTGTTAACAACACACGTTATGCGTTTCGTTTATTCATGAACTTTTTACATATCGTTTTTCATACGATAAAACGAGACTCGAAATATTCCCCACAAACGTGCCTTTTGACAACCTGTGATCATATTTCACGCTGGAATAATTTTTATTAATACAATAAACCAAGAACATTCGCATGGTTTTATTATCGAGGGGAAATAGTTTCGAGAAAAATTGGAGATTAAACGTAACGGATAGGAACACCCTGCGTCGTGAAATGTAATTCCGCTTTTAACTATGTCGAGAAATATGCGGAAGTGTTTGTCGCGGAAGCAGTGAAACGTTGACACAACTGTCGCAGTGAGAGAACATGCGAGAGATCTACGAGAGGATAAAGACGAGCTGCGCGGCGTGAGTGAGCTGACGATTTGTTTTGCCCGAGAACAAAGTGTATCTCGTCGATCGAGCGAGTGAGCGATGATTCACCGGGAAACTTGACGAAAATCGGCGCTACGGTTCCATGATTGAAAAGATTTTATCGAGTCAGCCGTACTGCGTCGAAGCGCGCAGGAGCCACACACGCGCCAATTAGAAAACCGGCAGGAGGCGAATAAACATTTGTTCAGTTCAACTCAAATATTGCGTTGGAAAATTCGACGATAATCGCTGAATTCGTTTCCTTCGACGGAATCAATTATGCGGCCGTGGCGAAATTTATAACTCTCTCTCGATTCCAGCCCGGGTATTACACGCGTGATTATTTACGGTTGTGCAAATTTTCGTTAATTTAATCTCGTTCGTCCGGGATAAAAATGCAGCGCGTTAAATAACGTCGCGACATATTTGGTGAACGAGCTGCAGCTCGAACGAGAGCAGAAGCGTAATTTGCTACTGATGTCCCGTCTTTCTTTTTCTCTCCCTCGCTCGCTCGCTCCCTCTTCCCCCTTTATTTTTATCGCTTCCGTTTGAATCTCGCGACGGCCATTGGCGTTAATTTATTCCGAGTGTGGTGTAATTTACTTCGCAATGTGCAATTCGACGCGCGATCAGAGCATGACATCGGTGATCCGAGGAACGCGTGTCGGTTTCTGTCTATAAAGCTTTCATTGATTTCAACAGGATAAAATACGTCATACGCCCGTCGAATGTAACGTACCGCTCAAGTAACGGTAACGTTGCAAATACATATAACATTTCATTCAATTCATATTAACGCGCGACGATAGCTGCGGGGGACATTTGCGCTCGTTGCCTCTTCGAGCGACCCAGTGAAAAAGGTCTGTCTGTGGTCAGACATGCGTCCGGGCCGTACAATACTTCGTGATACTCTGACGAGACGAGAGATTTCCGCTGACGACAGCGAGGAATTTCACGACGGTGACTGTCGATGATGATGCAACGAGTATGTGTGTGTGTGTTAACATAAAATAATAATAACGTGACAAAACATCCCAACTGATACGAGTAAAAAGTCAGCTGAGGTACAGAAATCCTTGGCGGCGGTGAATGTATGGAATTCTCCGGGCACGAGGTCTCGAGGTCTTCTCCGAGAAGAAGCGCCGCGACCGAGCAATTTCGAAGACTTTACGCGAAGCGTATCCCCGGGAACCTTCTGACTGTCAAAGCGAGGCGAGGGGCAGCGTCTTAATCGCCGCTCGGTGACTCGACATTCAGCGAGCCGTGTAAACGGCCGGAAAGCGCGGCTGAAGAGGCAGGTTCGATTACGGCAACACTCACCAGCGGGCAGGTCCAAGTGAGCAACGGCTTATTCCCAAGATGCGCGAGCTTGGCTGCCACCTCGCAGATCGAGCTGTCGAGCGCGGCTATCACCGCCTTTGTTTTGCTCTCGCCTAAAGCGTGGATTAGCGCGCCCAGGCCGCCGGTTTCCGTCTCACACGTCACTGGAAATTAATTAGCCGCGCTGTATTAGTGTGCGAACGTGGAAACATTCGCGGGGCTCATCTCTCCCTCCCTCGCCCTTCCCCGTTCCTCCGCACCTCTCTCAATTTCTGCTCCATCCACTTCGGCAGCTTGTTAGTTATAGCACCAGCTACACGCGAGCGAACGAGCAGAGCGATGGGGTACGCGCGGGCACGATGGGGTGAGACCTACATTGATTTAATGGCGAAATTTTCAATAGGCTCAGGCCTATCGATCGACTATCGATTTCGATAAGCTTGCCATCTTCTCCCTCTCTGCCTCTCTGCCCCTCCCCCGTGCTCCATCATCTTGGTTAACAACGTGCTCCCTCGCTCTGCCCTCGTTACAGCTGATATTTAACAACACGGAACGCGTGTTTGGCGTTGCCCCGTTGAAACGGGATTCTATTGAAACGCATGCACGCGCGTTCGTGCGCGCGTTCCGCGCGGCCGACGGCGATTGTGTAAGATATAATGGCGCAGACAATACGGCAGAGGGACGCTATATTAGCGACACTTCCTGAATATGGAGCTCGTGGCGTTGGCGTGACTACTCGCTCCCGCCGGGGAGCGTCAAGTTCGTCTTGGCTCCGGTTCCCCGAATGATCAATTTCCAAACGCGATCGGAACAGCGTTCGATTGTTCGAACTGACGAGACTGCCGGCGACGCGCGAGCGATGACACATCGGCGTAAACAGGCGCGAAAGTGCTTTTCGCGGCTCACCAGGCCGGCGCATTTGCGTTAGACGCGTAACCGGCTCGGCGGGTTTCGATTTGAATGCATAATTGGACTATTGGATACTGCGTTATCCGCGCGCGTGTAAATTTAGGGCCGCTTGATATCGTGTAACGGAAGCGCGAATGATTATATTGGGTGTGGGATAAAGTTCGTGGCGTTTCTCCTGATAGATGGCGTCAATTGGAAATAACTCAGGAAACACAGATCGCAGCGTCACCACTGAACGCTCGTTGGAAAGGTGACACTTCGAGCGTTACTTTGAGTGTATAAACGTCGAAATTGGTGCAGTGGTTGGAAAGTTGTTTGCGTTTGAAAATGGAGAAAAGTAATGAAAAATTGCGCTATATTTTGCAATATTATTACGACAAAGGGAAGAACGCTGCGCAGGCTTGTGAAAAAAGTTGTGCTATGTACGGTGAAAGTACTTTATCAAAATCTGCTGCACGGAAATGGTTCGCTCGCTTTTGTTCTGGTAATTTTGATGTGAAAGATGAGCTCTGGTCGTTCGATCACTGAAAAAGCTGATGAAATTCTTGAAAAAGTCCAGCAAGATAAGCATATCAGCAGTGTCGATATTGGTATGGAGCTAGGCATTGATCACAAAACTGTCTTGAACCATTTACACAAAGCTGGCTACAAAAAGAAGCGCGATGTATGGGTTCTTCATGAGTTGAGCGCGAGAAACATGATAGACCGAATTAACATCTGCGACGCGCTGCTGAAACGCAATGAAATCGAGCCATTTCTGAAACGTGTCATAACCGGTGATGAAAAATGGATCACGTACGAGAATCGGAAGCGTCAAAGATCGTGGACAAGAGATGGTGAGCCGTCACAAGCGTTCGCGAAGCCAGAATTGACGCCGAAAAAAGGTGATGCTGTGTATGTGGTGGGACTGGAAGGGAATCGTCCACCATGAGCTACTTCCAGTTGGTCAGACGATTGATTCTCAATTCTACTGTGGGCAACTAGAGAGATTACGCCAGGCAATTGAAAGAAAACGGCCCGAATTGAATAATAGGAAAGGTGTTGTCTTCCATCATGACAACGCCCGACCACACACTTCTTTGATGACCCGTCAAAAATTGCGAGAACTTGGTTGGGAAGTTTTGATGCATCCACCGTATAGTCCAGACATAGCACCCTCTGACTATCACTTGTTCCGATCTCTGCAGAACTCTCTCAATGGAATTAAGCTGGTTTCAAAAAAAGCCTGTGAAAACCACTCGATTCAGTTTTTCAACCAGAAACCACAGAAGTTCTTCACCGATGGCATCATGGCTCTACCCGAAAAATGGCGAAACATTGTCGATAATAATGGAGCATATTTGGTTTAAATAAATTCATTTTCACACTATAAGAAAACCAGTTGAATTTTACTAAAAAAACGCCACGAACTTTTTCCCAGACCCAATATTACGACCGTGCTCTGTATAACGTGGTTCGTCCGTGTCGTCGTCCTGCGGAGCGCGGACGACATTGAAATGTACAGCGTTATACGTCAGCGGTGCGCGGCGTGTTACTTTTCGGAATTTCTGTCTTCCGCTTATCGCCTAGCCGCGGCGATCACGATTGAAACTTTGCGACACACATACGCATACATAAGCGCGACGTTGAAATAATTAGTTTTCTCGGTAAGCTAATTAGTCCTCTACGGTCAGAATACCATAATTAGCTCTCCGCGTCGAAGCGTCACGTCTCAGAGACCCGCGACGCTCTCGTGACTTCCCCGTCGATTTTTTCCTCCCCTCTCCTTCCTTCTCCTCAACGTCGTCGCCCACCCCGCCCTCCCCGCTCGCGGATGCGACGTGTCGCGCGAGCTTGATGTACGAGTAATGCACTCACAGGATCTCGGCATCACGCTGATCGAGAGCTCGCCGGCGTCCGGCGCGCGCTCCAAGTGATCCTGTATCTCGGTGACGTTGATCTCCCGGTCGCATCTCTCGCCCAGGAAGACTACTACGTCCGCGTCGGACTCGGGTTGCTCGCGGGCTACCTCCGAAGGATAGGTGGACATGCACGAAATGCGACCGCCGTCGGCCGAGGTAGGAAGAATCCACCGGTATAGGATCGCGATCGGGATCCACCACCAGAACTGGCGAAAACAATTCCCGGCCATGGGCCCCTGGACCCTGCCGCGACCACGTCACTGCCACCACGGCGGGAAACGGCGAGACGACACCTGGTCCTGTCCGTCCAGCCCGGCCACCTTCGTCACTATCTGCGAAACATACAAATCTCCCGTGAGTGCGACCGACACTCGAATTCCTCTTAACCCTTTAACGCCTACTCCGGTAACTATATATATTAGCGGAGACACATTTAAGAATCCATAACTTAGTGAAAAAAGGAGATATTTTCGTTTTCTTTGCACTGTATGATGCAAGGTGAATTCTTCTTCTGAACAATGGTATATAGATTGTATGTAGATTCGGTTTAGTCTGTTTTTAGCTCAGTTTTAATGATAACATGTTTTGTCAAATTCTAAGTAGGTAGGTATAGTTAGCATTGTTACTGACATCTAGAAGTGCACTATAAATGAATAGATTGGTATCTGTTATAATTTTATACATTTGGAAGCTTTCTCAGATGCAAAATGTGAAATTAAAAGAATACAGAAATTCAAAATGACGAATCCAATATAGTGGACACGAAAATCAAGAAACCAACCTGCTTTCGTGAAACCTGATGACCTACAGTTTTTTATGCGGCGAAAAATGAAGGGACGATTGACTATCTAAATGATGATCTATAAGATATTCTTCTGAAATAGTAAGCTTGACGCTCTGAATGATAAACTTCACTCATAAATATAGTAAAGTTTCAGCTCAAAAAGAATGTCAAGTTGACTATCAGAGTTATGTAGTTATATAGATTACCCTTTGTTTTTCTCTGTATAGGTTGCTCATTTCGTATATACTTTTAGGATCCAAGTCATATTTACCAATAAACAATAAACAAAAATACAAGAAGACGCTTTGAAAAAAATCAAGAATCATTTGATACGTCAGAAAATTCCGTAGTTTTTTCGTAGATATAAAATTCTGATATTTTCTTTGGTTATCACTACTTATAGTCTCAGTTCAAAAAAATTTTCAAATTTTATTCTTAAAACACTTATAAAAAAGTCGGGCGTTAAAGGGTTAATCGACTGCTTTCTTCGTCAATCTCCTTATTTTCTAACCTCTTTACTGTAAGCGATCGCAAACTCGAAAGCGCAAATCGGATATCTCCCGGAAGAAATATCGTTGTCGTCTCATTGATCTCGTTAGTTCTCAGTTTTTCGGTAAAGATTGGAAAAAGAGATCCATTCTTTCATAACGTATGCGTCTTTCGCAAAGTTCAATGATGTCGTAAGTATTGTGTTTGCCTCGCAGGCGACGTAGAGTGATCATGATATTAACAGTCATTTGTCCTAACGTCGTTTGACCGATACATTAATTCCACGTTGTCGTTCTCGCCTCAGAGTCAGCCTCGACTTCGCGAAGTGTCGGAAAACGGGAGTCTGCCGTGCCGTCTACGCGTTTCAACGCGCAGAACGACTCGCCAAAGCTGCCCTGGATATTGCGAGAATCGGTGAAATCGAAACGGCTCTTTGTCCGCCAGGCGAATACGCGATGAAAATGCGAGCTTGGTTGTCTCGTTTCCTTCAATGCCGTGAAAACAAGGAGCCTCGGTGGCGTAATTAGCTCTTTGAGACGCCGGCGCCGTCCGAATCCGGCGACGAAATGAGGTTTTTCTGGAGGATCGCGATTGATGCGGATTCTCTCTCTTTTTCTACGCTGCAGCAGTCACAGCTGTGGCTTTGTGCGCCGCGAAAAGGTCGCGATTTGGTGATGAATACCAACGAGAGAAATTGCCGGCAAAGTTATATGAGCTCGAGGCCCTTCGAGAAGAAGCAACAGGCAATCGGTGTATTCTATAGTTATGAGCGGGCGAAATATTGTTATTCCGCCGTCATAAATTCCGAGTCATTATAGAAACCGACTTAATACGTAAGGAGAAATGTAGCGGAGCGCATCGACGCGCACCCTCGGGCTCTCGTCGCTGTACATGTTTCTCTGACGAACTCCAACTTTTTCTACGTTACCTGCGCGTTCGTACGCGTTGGCTTGTAATTTTATGATTACTTCCATCGTACGTCACACACGTACACACATGCGCACACACCGTTGTAATATTCAAAATTACTTATATGAGAACATACTTGATATGAGAATATTAAAATTGAACTGTCTTCCCGTCGGGGAAATATCGCACAATTACATTTTACTGGGAAGTTCAATCGGGGAAATTGAGTCCGCACGTCGCTCGCGCGAAAGTACGAACGGACGAAAGGGCGGATAAGGAATCCTCGGAAAAAGCGCCGATAGTTGCAAGAATTAGTATCCGTCGCAGAATTGCGGAAGTTAAACGTCGCTGTCGTGAAACGAGCGTCGAGATAATTGTTTTACGTCCACCATTGTACACCATTGTTGTACAAGAGTATTAACGCGTAACGCCGTTAGCAGCGTGACCGCGGCGAAATTTATACGGCCGCGACTTGAGAGGGAAAAAGAAGAAGACCGAGATAAGGAGGGTGAGGACAAGGAGAGAGGAAGCTGCAAAAAAACGTCGTGATGAATGGGCCAAGTGAAAAATAGCCGAAAAGGTCATTTTCCTGTCGTCATACGTGCCCTTCGGTCAATCCGCCGGCTTTATGAACCTTTTCGGCGCGCGAGCGAACCAATAACGGGGAGATGTGCGCGCGCGAGTTTCATCGAAAACACACCGTTATGGCGTTATCGCGTAATAAAAACTGTATAGTATAGTATAGTAGCAGCGAGAGCGACGCTACGGCGCTCGGCGCGATCGAAACTATACGCGGTGCGGAGTTTTTATACGATTACCCCGTAACGGGAACCTTGCACTATCCCGTGTGAGCTCGAGCGACGCGCGCTTGTTGCTCGGACGGTTATTCTTTCGACGTTGCAAACTGTATGACAGCGTCGGCCGTAAACGTAGTACGCGCAGGTGATAACAGGGACGGACGTGTGAACTTACGACATTTATCGGATCAATTCTGTTTGAGCGTTGACTATTGAGCGCGGCGTGTCGGTTCGATTTTGCATGGGATTATCTCGATGATGGATAGGACGCGGGCCGACGCGTTCGCTTCCTACGTTCCCGGAATGTAACGTTGAGGCAAGCTTCGCGCAGGTAAGTGGACTTTCGCGTAATTCGACGGTCGTATTTTTCGTCGTCGACGTCGTCGCCGGCCCCGCAAAGTCGGGCGCCGGCGCTCGACTCCTCGTATTTTGCTGAGAGACAGACAGACAGACAGACAGACGGAGAGAGGAGGAAATGAGAGCGAGTGGGGGAAAGAGAGACTGGGAATTTGAACTGGAGAGGACCGTGCGATGATGACGTGAATATTAATGAGAAAAATAGCGAACGAAATTATATGAATTTCCGTACCATCGGGAAGCAACAGGCAATCGAGCAAAAAGTTAACAGAAAGAAAAAATAGGGAAGCACGATAGAGAGTGACATTTCCATTTCAAACTGACCGGTGTGTCAGATTGATGGATCTCTGAAATAGTGGATTCGAGAAACGAAGCGTTCGTGCACACATGAACGTTCGGTGGGAATTATTTCGATGCGCGTTGTTGAATCAGAGCGTGAACACACGGTACTCTCTCCCTCTCTCTCTCTCTCTCTCTCTCTCTCTCTCTCTCTCTCTCTCCTCGGGATAAGTAAAGCGACGATGCTGGAAATGGAGTTTCGCGTGTCGCGCCGTGAACTTCCGGGAAGAAAGTCCATCGACGTCTCCGCGGAACTTGCCAGGAGAAATTTCGGTGTCGCCCGCTACGTCAATACCCATCGGCTATGATAATCACTATTATTATGCCGCGTTGCAAGGGGAGAAACGTGTACTTTATCCTCTTCGATGGAACGTTAAATTGGTTTTCAGGCCGGATATCGATGGAGAATTCGCCGATGGAACACCCGGTGACGGAAATAAATGGATAGATTTTTCCGATAAAAGCATCTCCCTCTCTCTCTCTCTCTCTCTCTCTCCCCCCTCTCTATCTTTCTCGTTTTCTCTCGAGCGCTAGAATCTGTTTTTAAAAAGGCGCAAGCATCCAGTCGCGAGCCGCTGTGCGTCCCATTCGCGTTACCGACGCGTTCGAATCGTCTTTATCCACTCGGCCTCGAGACATTGAAAACGCTCAGGCCGCCTGCGCTCCGGCGATGCCTCCGAGAACGTCGCCAGTTTAAAAACCCTCTTGAATATCTTAAGAGACAGTGGTATAACTTACTCCTACGTGATCCCCTCGGGAATTGCGGTAACACGATTGGAACACGTCCCGAGACGTTTCTTCCTTCACGAGGGTGCGTCTCGCGATATCCGAGCCGAAGTGGGACGCAATCCTCTATACAAGCGCTGCAGGCAATATTGCGCATTAGTCTCAATTTGCGCGGACATTTATGATCGCCTCTACGAGCTTGTTACAAGCGGCAAAATCGCCGTGACGTAATTACGGAACACCGTAATGCCGAGTTATTACTGTCCGAGCTCTTGGTATTGAGTAGAGAAGATCACCGGATTGATACCTCGGATTCATCCGCTCTCTCAGTCTCTCTTATCCTCTCGCCTCCTCTTCCTATCCTATCCTATCCTCTCCTCTTTCTCTCAGTCTCTCGTTAACACGATATAAATGCCGATACCGGTAGTGCGCGAATTAACCGGAGAAATCTGCTCTAACTAGCTCGTGAAGCGGGTCGAGTAGACAATTTCCGTGTTTACGAAGCCCGAACAACTTTCGCGCGCTCGTCAGCGATGGTATCGATGTGCAGCATCGAGCCCAGATGCATGGGTCCCCGATGGGCACTTGTAACGATTTCCGGCGGGCACGGCGCGGCGGCCGGGAACGCGAGGAAAATGCCAGATAATCGTGATCCGACATTCCGAAGTGAAAACGCCCAACCGATGCGCTATGAAATGCCCCGCCGGTTACAGACGGGAAATGCAGAGGAGGGCGACTTTGAAGATCTTGCCGAGAGAGACCTTACGACCGCTCGTGAAAATGTCACGGGCAACGACGGAAATGAAGAGTCGTGATTTCGAAACATTCTCATTCAGCAGAGAGAGAGAGAGAGAGAGAGAGAGAGAGAGAGAGATTGCGGAAACGGTCGCTCCGGTGATTTCAGCCGCCCATCTCGCCGTTCTATTCATTTTTACCAGTTCGCTCGCTCGTTCTCGAGCGATCAGCTGCAGTTTTTTTTTCCCCCCGCCGGCTGATGTGATAACGAGCGGAACAGTCTAAATGGTATCATCGATTCTCTCGTTAAGCCATTAAATTCTCTGGTGCGAAGCGAGCGCGATGGAAGATGCTCAGAGAAGTGCGCGGTCGCGTGTTATCCTAATTTAATCTTATTACATATAAAGCGTGGCTGCGCGTCAGCGCGTCCCGTGCAACTCGATACGTTACTCATTATTCTATAATGACGTTACATCGAAATCGTATTATATCATGTCACGCGAGGGGGCCAATCGATTCGCCGATTATAGAGTGAGGTCTACATTCTATTGCCAAGTCGCGGAGTCGCGGAAGATTCGATACTTAATATCGTACGAGCTGAAAGTATCACGCTCGCGCGCGCGCGCGTCGTAGCTGCGTTCTCTCCTCTTTACGCCTGCTACAGCAACAAATTCCCGCGGGTCAACATGCTGTCAGCTTATTCTTTGAATTATATCGCGTTGCCGTGCGAGAGCCGATCGTCTCGGTCAGTCGAGCCGTCTGAGTAACTTGACGCGGCTGCCTCTTGCCGATCGCGCTCGGTCCGACGTGGAAATCCGCAAGTCGGACAATGACTAGTCGAGAACGGACTCGGGTCAATGAGATCGCGAAGGAAGTCCAAATCGCACCGTTGAGCGTACAACATAATCGCTGACGAAGAGTGAGCAAGTGAGTCTGCAAAGAGCAATTCATCAAAGCGTCGCGCCGCGTTATTCGTGTGTACGAAAGGCCGCGCGGCCTATCAATCCGTCCGTCGAAAGCGACGCTCGTACTACTCGATCACGCTCGGCTCACCGTCGAATCGCGAATTCCGCAGGCCGACGACGTGCCGGCGCATCGAGAATCCAGCTCAATCCGCGTCAAACGCGGAAAGAATGAGATCAACAGGTGACGAATCGGCCGTGGCGTAGTGCCACGTAAATTAACGAGTTTGAGATGACCCAACCAATCGGTAGAGCCGTCGCGTCGCCTTGACGGCTCGCGTTTCTCAGCGGACCGCGGATAAATCGCCATGTCGACGATGGCGCTTTGACGCGAGGTCTGCGTGTTCGTTAACAGAATTCCGTGTGTAATTAGCCTGCTAATGTACTCAAGACGCGAAGAAGGAGGTCGGGCGACGGAGTGTGGAAACCTCCGGAGGAGAAGGAACGAAGAATTAACGAAACACCGCGGTGCTAATTTCACTCGTTACCGCTGAGCCTTATCCATCTGTCCTTTACGTTGTCGCGACGAGCCTATGTGTCTCTCTCTCTCTTTATCGAGCAATCCTCACCCTTGCCGTGCCATATCGTATCATATGACGCATCGCGATCGCAAACTTGTTTTATTTCTTCTGGGTAAATCCTATCCGTTCTTCTCGCGCACAACGAGCACCCCCACGATAGACGGATAACAATGGAGAGCCTCTAATCCTATAGAACGTACGCGTCGTCGTGTGTTGCCGAAGTGGCAAGAACAAACAAGGTTCGCCGATCCCAGTCGTCGCGGTGGCGTCGAATAGTGCAAGTTGGAAAATCGGGTCAAGTGTTATACGCTACTACGTGACTCGCGGCGGTAGTATTGATACATGGCTGAAACAACAATGGACACATGACTGTGTCAACACGCTTATAATGTTGGCCTGCCAGAGACGTTGTAACTCAGCCGGCAAATATGTTTCTTGCACGTAAACGGGAATTTGTAATAACTGAATAATTTCAAGGAACAACACTGCTCACTGCAACCTGCCCAGCCCCTTTGACAGTTCGCTCCGCCCTTTCCCATCTGCCCCTCCCCCCTTTTTGGCTTCCCCTGCCCCCTCCTCTCTTTAGTCCAATTCTTCTTCCAGTTTACCTTCGCCTCATCATCACTCAGCTCTTTTTCCACTTGACCCGATCCCTTTTTCGATTTGCCCTTTCGGATTAGATCAGCCCTTTTCCAGTTTGTCTCGCCTTTTCCCCACTTTGTAGTCCCTTTCCTTTCCCAGTTTGCCCCCACCCCCTCATTTAAATTAGGCCGTTTTCCGTTTAGCTCTGTTCCTCTTAATCCTGTCCTTTTCGACTTTGCTCCCTCCCTTTTCCACTTTGTTTCCCCTTCCCTTCTTAGCTCTGCCCCTTTTCCAGTTGTCCCCGCCCCCTTCGGGCTTTGTTCCACCTATGTCCGGGTTTTGCCTGCAAACTCGAAAATACACGATACGACGAAAAAAGAAAGGATCGATTTCTCGTCGTATATTTATATATTTTATCGCGGATACGCACGCATGCATCGTGCATAAGTTTTTCCACGTTTATTTATACTCGCATTGTTTTCACACATGCATTGTAAGGCGTTTCATGTTGATACCGATGGAACGGCCGAAGAGGAAGAGAGGAGGACCGATCTTTCTCTCGTGTCGTATATTTATATATTTTATCGCGACTACGTCACACACACACACACACACACACATCGTGCATAAGTCTTTCTGCGGTTATTTATAACCACATTGTTTCCACACACACTATTGTAAGATGTTCCATGCTGACACCGAACGGCACGGAAGGAGAAGGAAAGCGAGAAGAGGGTGGGTGCGCTCGCGCGCGTTTCGAGTTCACGGTGAATTTTATTTAGGGGAACAATGCACAAGTCACGTACCTGCGAAGCACCTATAGGCCGACGGTGAAGTTGACGTTGACGACGTCGGCGACGGGGCTCTCGTGTCTTCGGCTCGGCATCTCCGCGAATTTCCGCCTCTACATGATGGCGTTTATACGTCGAGCCTCTTCCTCAATAAAACGCTCCTCCGCGTCGACCGGTTAGAACGGCTCCTTTCAAAATGGAACGTATCGCGCGACCCGCTTTCGCACTTCCGCATTTTGTCGCGTCGCCGTAGGAAAAACACGGCGTCATCCCGGCCTTCCCTCCGACAATTTAAAGTCGCGTTAGCGCGCGCTTCGCACCGCCTCGCTAGATCGAGAGGAAATGCCGAAAGAGTGACCTGATTTATGGGAGCAACAGTTGCGCCGTCGTTATTTCCATCACGACGTTCTCGCGATTTATTGCTCGCGATCTGCTCGCGTCTATCACGGCGTTCAATATTTTCGAGGAGTCGCGCCTCTCTTCAGGTTTGATCGAATATCAATCAATTCCGAGTTGTCTGCATTTTAATTTTTCACACAGGCGTCCGCGCAGCGTCGCGCGGTTCACCACATCGACCGGTCGAGCATAGCGCAGCGATTGAACGATATTCCGAGCGCAGTCCACTTGCGTTTGAGGTGCCTTGATCGAGAATTTCGAGTCAGATGGGAGCGTTCCCGGGACATCGCGGTGCTTCTCGGCTCATTTCTCGCCGAGTTTCTGATCAATCTCACGACTGTGCGGTTTATACACACGCTCGTAAATCCGACCCCGTCCCCGGCGCGGCGCTTCCATCCTCCGGAGCACTCCGCGACCGCGAAACATTCGGCTCTCCGGCGATCGATTGTCAAGTCTCTCGTGTCTCGCGACGGTTCACTTTTATCAGCCATGAACTATATGCCTCTGTCCTCCATCGCTCCGACACACCGTCGTTTGCGCAACGCCCGCGTTAGCGCCGCGATATATCCGCTTCAAGTTTCAAACGGGTAGCGTAGAGACAGGGACGACAAGAGAGAGAGAGAGAGAGAGGAGAGGGAGGAGAGGGAGAGAGAGAGAGAAGGAGAGGATTAGAGCTGGGATCTTAGCTCCGGTTACTGCCAATCAGGGACGATAACATACGCTCCGTACAGGCCGCGATACGGTCGAGACTGCCGTGGAGACGATATCGAGCGCGCTATTTCTGACCGAGTCTCTTCATGATTCAGACTATCGCTTGCTCGTCGGTCCAGGATAGCCGATTCGACCTTGACTCTGGTCGTTCGCACAGTATAACGCCACGTAGAGGACATACATATGCATAAATCCGTGGCCGTCCCGGAAGTATCCGTCCGCGGCGGGGACACATCGATCGCGGCCAGGACGACGGGGAGACGATTCCGAGGATCGAGGTCGCTGTTTTTCAGCCTGCTCTCGGAGGGATGAGCGTGGTTGTTTGGAGGGAACGTCGAGTTCTCGGACTCGATCGCGGCCACGCACGCACACAGCCGCCGAGCTCGTTTACTCGTCTCGACTCTGAGGTTCGTCCGGTGCCGGCAGCTGCCTCATCCCCGCGCGTTCACCGATCGCGCGACGCAACATCCGGCCATCCGGCGGATAATTCCACGCGTCGGATGGTCCCCCTCGTGTCAGACTGCCCGTCCGGTCACTCCGAGGTGGGAGGGACTGATTGGGAATTCGCCAGGCGAATTAGCGCGCACCGGCGCACCTGTGCGCCGGGCCAAATTGTCGACAAGCCGCTGATACCGATGCCGCTGAAGCCGCTGCAACGATGTCGCATCCGAGCGGATTATAACGCACGTCGCGCGACCGTCGTTGGCAGGCGGGAGGGTCGTGTCGTGATCTGTAACAGATAATGAAAGTCGACAGTTGCGGCAGCTGCCAATAGTTTCGGATTAATCCCGTCGAGCGCTCTGTCCGAAGGATGACGCGCGAATGAACGGATGAAGATGGGAATTAGTAGGGCAGATCGAAACGTCCGGAGCGTTTTTAACCGGGCCGCTCCAACTCCTTGATTACATTCCTCTCGCTGTGACTCGTCGTCGTCGTCGTCGTCGTCGTCGTCGTCGTCGTTCAGGTTGCCCGATCGCTGCTACCTTCTCCTGCGCGCTCTGACAAAAATCGACTCGCTCGACGACACACTCGGCGGCACTTTAACTGGCTGTGTCTTTAACGCGGCGTAAGTTTCCTGCGTGACAAACGTGACGTCTGCCACCGGCCAAGTTACAGCGGCGGATTTACGAAAGTCACGAGGACCGACGCGCAGGTGCGGACGCGCGCGCGAGTATCACGCGTCTGCAACGGCTAATGAAAGCCTGCGGTTACGAGCCGCGATTAATCTGAGCTTAATCCCATCGAGTCCTGTGCTCGTTATGCGATGGATTAAGAACGAGTTAATTATCGCACAGGCTTAAAGGCGGGCTATTTCATTAAACACCGCGCCGAGAGCGGATATCGTCCGCGGGTATTATCGAAATATACGCGCGACGTTCGCAAGAGTCGCAAAGGAGCGACTTCGTATCTCGCGTTCTCTCTCTCTCTCTCTCTCTCTCTCTCTCTCTCTCTCTCTCTCTCGGGCGATCAAGTTACAGGCGGTTATTGGCAGGTTACGTTCGGAAGTTACGCCTTGGAAGTACGATTGATTTTATTTTAGTCAGGCTATCTCGCAAAACACCAGAGAGGGAGAGAGAGAGAGAGAGAGAGGATCGTACGTATATCTCCGCTCATTATCGATAATACACTCGCGAAATTCACGGGAATCACGGAGGAACGACTGTGTATATCCGGAATATCGACGCTCCCATATCGGCGAAGTTGAGCGGGAAGGCTCCCGCAATTACGTCTTGGAGGTACAATTAATTTTACCTTAGCTATTAAAGTTGTGCTACAACCGACAACGTCCAACGACGTGTCGAGTTGTTATTATTATTGTTGTAGTCCGACCATTAGAAGAAACTCTCGCGCGATTCGAGCCTCGTTGCATGATTCGACCGATTTACAAAAAGATTACACCGTTGATACCTATTGATTCGATAAGATTCCCGTTAATTGAATCGCGCTTATCTCCCTCGCGGAGATTCATTCCAGCGCCGTGGAATTACGCGGGATTGTGTTTCAACGATGCGAAAATTAAAAGAGCTCGTCAGTTGTCACGCGGATTCGATAAAACGTGCGGGTTCGATAAAAAATATCGGAGCGATGTTCGCGACGCGTTTGCTCGCATACAAGCGCACTTATTACGCGGCAGAACTATTCGCATTTAATGAGAAATATATGGATAAAGGTTGCGCGCCCGTCTCTCTCTCTCTCTCTCTCTCTCTCTCTCTCTCTTTGCGAAGGAAAAAAGAAAACAAAAAATCGAAAGTTCACAAATAAAAACGATTATGCGAAGCGCAGCCCGAGATAATGAGCAAAGTTTTTCGATTACACTTTACTCGCACTTATTGGAATCGCATGGCAATAGCTCGCCGGTCTCTTCCCCACCGCGCGGAGAATATGCATGCGCATACAGCGCGAACGCGTCATGCGCTGATAGTTGTGTGTTGCCGTTGATAAACGTGTAATACTTCTTTCTATTTCCATTACCGTCGAAACCGCCGATTCGAGTCGCCCGCGAAAGCTCGGCTATCCCCGCGACTATCTCATCCTCCGTCCCTTACAAACTTATTCCCCCGATCTGAAAGTGACTGTGCACCGTTATTAAACTTCAGAAATAGAGACGCGCGATGCGGTCCACCAGCCGAACACACGCAGTGCGATGTGACTCTTGCTCTTCTTCCTCGTGTTTCTACACTGCAAATCCGAGTGTGTTATTTTGACGCGTATAAGCTGAAGCTTCTTCCTTTACGCGTATCCTGTCGTCTTAAATCACGTCGTTCAACGCGTTTAAACGCGTCAAGTGATATCGAAATGCATCAAATGACGTGATTTCAGACGACAAGAAACGCGTGAAGAAAGCTTCAGCTTATACGTGTCAAAATAACACACTCGGGTTTGCAGTGAAGAAAATTGCCGCGAAGAAAATTCCTCAGCGACAACGAGAAAAAGATAGGCCCTCCGCCCTCCGGTCTGACTTTCCGATAGAATCCGCTTAAATTGATCCCTATTCCATCGGTATTGAACTTCAATTATATTAAACCGGGGAGTCAGTGGTCCACGTATTTCATCGCTTAATCATGCGCCGCTCGATTCCCCCGTCAGCCGTAGCTCCAAGTAAGAAATCTGCGTAATATTATTCCGGCGGGGAGAGACTCGAGGATTAGGTAACATAGCGAAACAATGTTGCAGCAATATATTTCTTGTCGAGAGAAAGTTTTCCGGCGAATGAGATCGCGACAGTCTATTATGTGTGTGAGCATGTGCGCGCGCGCACGCGCGGGTATGTGTGCTTGTTAATTAAGAATTAATGAGTCATAATGCGGTATTGAACTTTCTAATATACACCGAACATGATGCCTCGATTCTGTCGGTATTTCAAATCGCTGATGGAGCGGTCGTTATCAATCTGTAATTATTACGAACAATGTCTGGCAATAACGCATTATTTCCAAATATGTCTCTGGTGAAATACAGAATATGTCATCGCAGACTTTCATGCGAGGGAATTGCGAAACAAATGGCTCATATATGCGCGCGCACAGAACACACATACACAGAAACGCAGAGAGAGAGAGAGAGAGAGAGAGAGAGAGAGAGAAAGAGGCACACACATCGACCGAGGTAATGAAAATTAGTCAATCATTCGTGGTTGACGGAGCTAATTTCGCAATTGCTCCGGAGCCGGCAAAAATCCACCGAGATTCCCACCTCGCGAATTTTCACGCCGCCGTTCGTCGGTCGCGAGCATCACGTTAGTTAGGCGCGTTTTTGCAAGGATTGTGCCGCGCGCGCGCATATACCTGCACACACATTTATAAAACCGGCCGACGTAAACAAAGGAAGGTCTGTTTATCTCGCGACGTTTCTTGCGGCGCGTTGTTGCCATTTGCGTCTGTCCCTGTCGGCGTAGAAATATCGTCTATCGCCCGCGAGAATACCCGTCCGCGTATTCCGCGGGCGTCGCGGCGCATGCGACGTCCCCGACGGCGTAAGCGCTTAACGAACACGCTATGTTTGCGCGTCCAGCATGCACGATGTTCATGCGGAACTGGAAATGCCTTCCCTTCGTAAATTTCTCCCTCACTTAATCTCACGATCGGCAATTAGGAAGCAACGAACTCTGCCGTCGCGTCTTAATATTAACAATGATACAGTTACATCTGTCATCTGCTGTATATACATGTAGCGTGTAAATGAGAGACGCTAATTGGAACAGCTCGATGACTTCCTGACGGCCTGCAACGCACCGCGCGGAAAGGAGCGCTCCTCATCATTTTTAATTACTCGGCAATAGCAATTAATCTCGTTGGCGTGCGGAATCGCCATATAACGTTACATTTTACGCTCCCTTTCGCGACATGCACCTCGGGCATGCTCCATCGTGCTCCCTGTAAAGAGTTCACGTTCGCGAGTTTTGAGGAAGCGATTAACGTGACATCTCGTGTGCGAGACGTCGCGAACCGTGAATCCCCCGGCCAGTTGCTTCTTCGTCCTTCTGGCGTGCCCGAAAAATGTCATTCGTTTTCTCTTAATGTTCCCTCGCCTCTCCGACCTTCCCCTTCTTCAACGTATCGTCGACGACAACGACGACGACGACGACGACGACGACGACAGGGAACTTTGTGCGAGCCAAGGAAAGAGTATCGATCTCCCGAAACGGCGAATTTGGCGGGACGTCGTTGAAGAGCGGGCAGGAGAGCCAACGTCCTGGAAGAAGGACTCTCGAAGGACGCGAATCCTCTCTGCTCGATGTAATCCCTCCCTAATTACCGTCATCCTCGCGCCTCCAGCATCGTCGACGATTGCATAGCTGTCGGCGATCAACATCGGAAGTCACGGGAGTCGCGGTCGTACGTCGCAACGCAAAGGTGACTTCGTGGGCGAAAGGCCAACTGCTGCGTATGTGAAAGATGATGAAGCGTTACGCAATTGGAGAACTCGGAGATCTCGGTTTGATCGGCGAACTTGTTCCACCGCGAGGCGTCTCGTTTCTTTCAAGGATCTCGAGATCTCGAGATACAGACGAAGATGCCATGTAAAGCGGAATCGCTTGTAAATAAAGATAACGGTGCTGGAGAGAGGAGGAGATATCTCGCGGAATTATATCTTGCTTATTCGGGACGAAAGGAAAATAATCGCCTTAGAGCCGTATTTTATGTTAACATTTCCATGAATAGTGCTCTCACGTCCCACTGTATATACGTTAAGCCGTGTTCCCAACGCGAAAGAAATTGTTTGTGCGCTAATGAAACGGATGATAATAATTATAGCGATAAGAAGCTCCCTATGTATGCTTGCGTGAAATCGCGTAAAAGCAGAAGCAATGGCGGATATCAAAGACCCACGCCCGTAACGTGTCTCTCTGTCTCTTTGTGTATGTTTGTGTATGTGTGAATGCGTCCTCGTTTCCGAGAAATTTAATGTCCAAAATATGAAATACGACGGCGCGTGCACAGATTTCGGTACGAAACGGTTGCACTCTAAAAGTACCAACAACGGCGCGGCGGAGTCCGGATAATTATCGATCCCGTCGCGTTATTGTGACCAGCAATCTTCAAACAGCATCCACGGGTCAATCATGTAACATATAACGTAACGCTCGCGTTACGTTATATGACGAAGCGCGCAGATGCCTAAGGAAGTTCTGCGAAATCGAAGCGTCGGGAAACGCGATGAAATGTCAACTTGTGTCACGTAAGTATAGTATATCCCCATTATATCCCCCGTGACTTCTGCCCAACGTTC